AATGTAAGGAACTACGGATTGTTGCTCCAAACTACAAATATGTGCTTCTTTGTCTTAATTTAGCATATAAAATAATAAAAAAAAAATACTGATGACAGCAAAGGTTAAAAAAAAAAAAAAAAAAAAAAAGGCATACAAATTTCTCAGTTGGATTGTGTTATGCAAGCATTGCTAAGAAAGCCTAATTTATCTTTTAGGAAGGAAAGGATAGACACAAATGTTCCAGTGTGCGCACTTACATTAGTTTAGATACACACTGTAATCATGGATCAAGTTTGCTCTCAAACAAGCTTGTTTAGCAAGTTGATCCATATGTTAACAATGTTTGAAATAAGCTTTGCAGTGCTACTAACATGTTGTTTAAGTTGATGCATTAGTTTGTCCCGCTCTCTTTTCAGGGCCAGCACCTCCTCCTGGGTCTTCTTTTTATTGGACGCAGACAGTTCCAGTAATGCAATATTAGCATCTTTCTCACTGATGGCTGCCAAAAGAGCTTGTTGCCTGGAAAAATATAAAAAATAAATAATAAATATAAATATAATAATAATAAATATAGCAATAATAATAAATAAATGTAGCATAGAAAAACTGGAATGCATGGAAATCATTGTCAAACAAACTAAGAAGCTAAAAAAAAGGGTGAAAAAGCTTCTGATGTAATTGAGCGTTGTTAAGTAAAGCCGTAGCTGAATAAGTCTTACACATAAACACTATTTAACTATGAGTTATTCACACTTGAAAAACACAGTTGTGTAAAGGTTGGAGGTCTGAATTCATCAAAGTCTAGTAAACCAAAAAGAAAAAGCCCCTGAAGAAAAATAAAACATATCTGCTGTTGATTTTTGTTTTCATATACCAGCTACATTAAGTACGATAAATTAACTGCTTAACAAAACAAAATGACTGCATTCAATGATGCTAAAAATATTTTATATTCTATATCTTTTATTTATATAATGAAAAATATTTCATTATTAACATTTTAATTTAACCTACAAAATATCTACAGTAAAAGAACAGTAACTCAATTATAGACCTATATCGAATCTTCCTTTCTTAAATTCTAGAGAAAGTAGTTACCAAACAAGTGTGCAACCACTTACATTATAAAGAACTTTTTGAAGAGTTTCAGTATGGCTTTAGAGCTCATCATAGCACTGAAACAGCTCTGGTGAAAGTCACTAATGATATTTTAATGGCCTCAGATAATGGACTTGTCTCTACTTGTCCTGTTATATCGTGTTGCATTTGATACAGTCTATCATAATATTCTTTTAGAAAGACTTGAATATTTTGTTGGAATTAAAGGAACAGCACTAGACTGGTTTAAATCTTATCTATATGATCAATTTCAGTTTGTTCATGTTAATGACACATCTTCCTCTTTCTCCAGGGTTACCTGTGGAATACCACAGGGATCAATGCTAGGACCAATCCTATTTACTATATATATATGCCCCCAATCGGTAGAATTATAAGACAGCATGGGATTAATTTTCACTGTTATGCTGATGATACTTAGCTATATATGTCTATAAATCAAGATGAAGCTAACCCATTACATAGATTAAAGGCATGTCCCGAAGACATAAAAACTTAACTTTTTGCTCCTGAATGCAGACAAAACAGTAATTATAGTCTTTGGAGCAGAGTCTTTGCAAAATAAGCTGATTAGTCAGTCAGTGAATTTGGATGAAATTAAACTGATTTCAGATAATAAAGTTAAAAATCTTGTTGTTATTTTTGATCAGGACCTGTCATTTAAATCTTAAAATGTTAAACAGGTTTCTAAAATTCCTTCTTTCATCTGCGCAATATTGCACAAATTAGAAATCTTCTGTCCAGGGGTGATGCTGAGAAACTAGTCCATGCATTTGTTACTTCAAGGCTGGACTATTGTAATTCTTTACTATCAGGAAGTCCACAAACTGTAGTTAAAAGCCTTCAGTTGATCCAAAATGCTGCAGCCAGAGTTCTGATGAAAATTAAAAAGAGAGATCACATCTCTCCTACCCTGGCTTCTCTTCACTGGCTTCCTGTTAAATCAAGAATATAATTTAAAAATCCTCTTTCTCACATATAAAGCCCTAAATAGCCAAGCTCAGAGATATGATTGTTCCTTATGTTCCTAACAGAGCACTTCGCTCTCAATCTGCAGGTTTACTAGTGGTTCCTAGAATTTCTAAAAGTAGAATGGGAGGCAGATCTTTTAGTTATCAGGCTCCTCTCCTGTCGAACCAACTACCAGTTTTAGTCCGTGAGGCAGACACCCTGTCTACTTTTAAGGCTAGGCTTAAAACTTTCCTTTTTGATAAAGCTTATAGTTAGAGGGGCTCAGGTTATCCTGAGCTATCTCTATAGTTATGCTGCTATAGGCTTAGACTTCTGGAGGACATAGGGGCCTCCTTTTTATCATTCTGCTTCATTCGACTTATTTTACTGGAAGATGCTTTATCTGTATTATTTTTCTGCAGCCTTAAAGAGCACACTAGACACTTTTCTGACTGCTTCAGTCGAACAATATATTTTATGGTTACGGTATCTTATTCGATTAGCAGCAATACTGACTTCATTTCAAGGATTTCCTCAAGCTGCTTCCGGCGCTCCTGTCTCATGTTGGTCAGATGGGTGTCCCTCTCCTGCAAAGACTGCTGTGTGGAGGAGAGACGCTGCTTGGTGGCATCCAGCTCCTGCCTTGTCCTTTCCAGTGTGCTCATCAGCTCCTCCAGCTGGCAGACAAGCATTACATTAGCCAAAACGGAAAACAGCCATTTTGAATTTTTTTTCGAGGTTTCAACATACAAATAATTTCTCAAACCCACAAAGGGACACACAACATATTTTTCCAAATAATTAAAATAAAAGTAACCAGCAATTTTTAGAAAAGAAAAACACTCAAATCTTTAGATATCCATTAACAAGGCTGGCACAGTTCATTTATAGTGTTTTTTTTTAACTATTTGACCTTACTTCTAGCCTTTCCCCAAATGTTTAATGACATTGAAGACTGGGCCTCTTCAGAAGCTTGTTATGTGTTTTATCATTTAAAACAAAAAGTAAAATACATGCTTGCGATCTAACCCTACTAGTGGATGGTTCAGCAGGATAAATATGATATTAACGTCACAGTCTGCAACAAATATTTATTCGATGTATCACATTCTAGGTTGGGGTGATCTTTGTTGGTGCTGGAAAAGTAGCTTAACTGAGGAAAGAGATATACGTATCCAACAGTTTCTGGCCTATGATAGGCTAATCTATTAAACTATTTATAGACTTTCTTTTTTCGTGTATGTGGACTATGTTTCTCAGCAAACCAACCAGTATACATAAACTCTGCTAATTTAGCAAAAAAGAAAAAAATGTTTAACTAAAGAACCATGCCAGGGAAGTACTGACAGCTATTTTTCAGTAACCCAGATAAAGACATTCATTGAATCAAAAGCAGATCAAATATATGCATTCTAGTTTTTGCTGATTAGAGCTATTTGTAAATCAATGAAAAACGTATTCTGTACACATATCCTATAGTAATCACAAGTCATCAAGAATTTATTTTTTAGATAATAATTTTCCCCTAAAAATATATATTAATGTAATTAAATCAATGATACCATGGTTCTCTATGCATGCATAATCAAAGCTACTTATTTCTGAAAAAATGATTAAATCTTAACCTTTAAGTGATGACCACCTTCTAAGGAGCTGTCTTTACGAGGATCTTGTCCTAAGCCTTTTTTGTCCCCTTGTAGTCCCAGTTTGATGTTGGAACCCTTCTTGGTCTGATCCTTGCCTCCTTGCCTGTAATATCATACAGTTTCAAAATTTCTCTATAACACAATAAATAATCAAATCCAACCTAAAAAAAATAAGCAGTAGTCATGAGATCTGTAACAACGCAGGAGAATCCCACATGAAAAGAACATTGTGTCAGTGTTGAGGGTAGTAAAAGGTTTCTGAGCAGGAGTTTGTGGATCAATATCTTTAGAGATGGCGAACAAGGGGACAGGGAATTGTCTTACCTGGGAGCTAAACTGCAGATAGGTAGATTTAGAGGAAGAAGAAAATAGGGTGAAGAACAGGTGAGGGAAACATTGGAAGCAGGAAAAAAAAAACACACACACACACAGAAGAAAAGTAAAAAAAAAAAAAAAAAAAGTAGTGAAGTTTTAGAACCAAAGGGTAAATCCGTAAAAAAAAAAAAAAAAAAAAAACTGTACTTAAATCAACCAAACAAAATTAGAGATTACAAATATGCCTGCAACAGACTGAATATAGCAGGATGCACTTTCTCTATAGAACATGGAGCACTGTGCATCTGCTGCCAGGCCAGGGAGTGGCAGACATGCAGTCAGATGAGCAAAATATTAGCAGGGCAAAAAAGGATGGTGTGAAAGGGGGGCAAGGAGGAAGGAAAGCTAACGGCAGTTTGATTTAGTGGGTGACATACGTCTCCAGAGAATTAGCTGAAAATGCAGAGGATTCATTAACAAAGCAAACTTTAGGGCTCACTCCAGGCTACACAGATTTCAATTACTGCAGCTTTAGTCATGCAGGGCAATTTGCTGAGGATTTCTGTCAGTTGTGTTAGGTTTAGGTAGGCAGGGCAGCTGGGACCAACGGGGGAAGGAACTAGGAAAGAGAGAAGACGTGATCTTTTTTCTTGATAAATACGTCAATCAAAAGGTGCAAGTGTAACAGAAAGAAAGACGGGAATGGAGGCAGACAGATGGGTAAAATGAAAAGGTTGGAAATGTTGCATAAAGTGGGAATCCTAACACCTGGAGACAGATTTTTTTTTTTTATAAAAAGCACCAACAGGCAACAAACAGATATAATCAGAAATTGTGTGGGTATGAGTGACTGTGCTGCAGTCCACCTTGTTTTAGCATGGAACACATGTAGGGACAGCCTGAGGTCTACTCCAGTGAAGATTAAAGCAGCTGAAGCAATCACAACAAAGTCTCACAACAAGTCTCAGTCAATGCATAAAGTGCCTTGCAAAAGTATTCAGGCCTCTTATGCTACGTTCACACTGCAGGCCTTGATACTCAATTCAGATTTTTTTGTGTAAACCGATTTTTTTTACGTTGCCGTTCACATTTCCAAATATATGTGACTTGTACAGTATGTGATCTCCTGTGTGAACTGCATTCATACAGCTTAAGTGTCCCATGTGTGCAGTAGAGAACGCAATGACATCACAAGCAAGCATGCTCTGTGTTTGTAAAGTATACGTGGATAGTAGTGCTGGAGCGCATCTAGCATCTTTCCCAGCCTTAAAAACTCAATCTTTTCAAGATGGTTAAAAAAAGACTGCTTTACGCATTATTGTCTGCCATGGTTGTTGTTTAACTTCCCGCTTCTGCATAGCAAGATGCAGAGTAGTGACCTTTGTCGGGTATTAATGACGTTCAGGTCGGATGAATGCGACCTGGCCGTTCAGACACGGGTTGCATTTGAAAAGATCAGATACGTATCGGATTCAGAACCACTTAGCCAAATGGCCTGGGTCGCATTGGAAAAAATCTAATCTGTGTTGTTCAGACTGTCATGAAAAGATCAGATACAGGTCGCAAATGGGCAAAAAAAATCCGATTTGGGTCACTTCAGGCTGCATTATGAACGTAGCCTTAACTTCTCATTTGGTTGATTTATTTAAATGCTCTCCATATTTTGGTGGGATATAGTAGGGAAAAACCAAGAAAAAGTGTTAAATATCACTGAAGTAAGATAAAATACACAAATACTTGTTTTTATTTTATTCTATTTTTTTAATTATATATTATAATATATTATAACCTATATTATACTATATACAAAATTACTAAGCTGAATCTGTGTATGAAGATTAATTTCTGTGCAAGTACAGCTGTTTTTTTAGGCCTCAAAAATTTGTTAGAGAACATAAGTGAAAAAATTCCATCATATGGACTAAGGAACACACAAGACAGGTCAAATAAAGTTTCTGGAGAAGTTAAAATAAAAAATTATAAATATATAACATCATTTCTGAGATCTATTATACCGAGAGGCTTGGTAGCGTTATAGCTAGTTTATGCTTAATCCATCTTTAGAACTGCTTCAAGTTCAGTCTTTTTTTTAATTTGGTATAAAGAGAGTTTGCCGACCCGCTGAATTAATTTGTGCCAACCTGTGTCTATGTCTTTCCTTTATTTATATTATTATACAATTCTTTTTGATGGTCCAAATATTTTTCCATGCACACCGAATATCACTCCATTGTCTGGCACACTGCCAATGCCTCCTTTGTGGCAACAACGACTGCAGATATTTTTGTGTCCATTTGCAGATCACTTTCACAAGTTACAAATGATTCAAAAGCTGTGGCTTTAGTCAAGTTTCCAATCTGGAAACTGCACCTGGTAAATGTTTACATTTGCATATCCTCCACCCATGGATTTGCACAGAGTGGTCATTAGAATATGATGTGCATACTGATGACGGGATACACACAAGAAAATTCACCCACAGGCTGCTGAATTGCAACCGCAAATGACTTTGCTACTTCTTTGAAGAGCTGCTCTGTGCACACAAACACGTTTGCACCTGTTTTGAGACACGAATACCTTCTGGAAATAAGGCCTAAACTTTTTTTAACCACTGTAATGCTTGAATTTCCCAACTATAAATATAATAATAAAGATAAAGATAATAAAAATAAAGATATTTCTTCTCTATGGTATCCTTATACTGTAGGAGGTGTGTACACAGAACGATTTTTATCGCCCTCGCCAAAGTGTGGCTCGGAGGCCAATGTTATACAGTATGAAAGCTCAAATGAGCTCCCTAGAAGTCTTGTTAAGGCATACAGAAGACATGGAAGAAACTGATATACTGAGGATATACTTATGCTAGACCAAAAATGTAACTTTTGTCAATCTTTAAGAATGCTACATGTGCCTAAAACTAACACTGCATCACCATAGTGCACTTTCCTAATGGTGAAACATGGTGGCAGAAGCCTCATGGTGTGGTGAATGTTTCCTTTCAGAAGCAAGCGGTTAGAGTTAGGGATTTAGAATATCTATCGGACGGTTAAAATATCTGCAGATATGGTGGAATTTGTTAACTGCCCGATAGATAAAAATTTCAGAAAAAATAGGCGATAAATTAATTACTTTTGGTGGTATTTTATATAGGCAGAGTATGCCCAAAGCGGGACGTAACCTGTGGATTTTGCTCTCTGTTATTGCCTGACTATAAATAAGCAAACATGTCTTCGCCAGTGTGGTCGTTTTTCTCGGTATTACACAAGGCATACAAGACCTCATGCATTCAGGCAACGTTTTGTTCATTATTCACATCATTTTTGAGAAGTTTTTGTTACCGAAGCTGGCATACATGTGTTGGTACATCTAATATTAATGTTTGAAAATATTTAACCTTGCTCCACAAAAACCTTTGCAGATTCTGAAAAGTTTTTAAAGTTAATTTTTATTCGACTTTAGCTGAGGTTATTTTTGATTACGTTTTCTGTTACTAAGTTACTGTTATTGCATATTATTTTATATTTGATAAATACAGGACTTCACAAATTCAATAATTTAGTTTCTAGAGATGCTCTTTGTGTTTGAACTGAATACTTTTGCAAGGCACGATAATAAAATTAATAAAACAGAATAAACATAAGGATTTTATATGGACAACTGCTGGTGCCATAAATGGTAAAATGTGGGATCCTGGATATGAAAAATTTTACTTGAATGTTCATAATTAATTGAAAATAAAACACAGAAATAAAGTACCATTTTCTTCTCAATGGAAGACCACAACATGAATCTTTCTGAACATACAAGATATAAAATATGCAGATTCCTGTGGAAATATTGCCAATCATCAGTCTTTTTAGATTGGCTCCAAGGAGCCACAGTTTCTTTTATACTTTTATAACAGTTTTTTGCTCTTTTCAAAGGTTTGTCATTTACTTTTTAGTAACAGACAACAACCGTTGTTCTTAAGGAAATTAAGGTGGTTGGCATTTAATTCTTCCTCATTGTATGTTTTTGCACTTCACTTTTAGATTTTTACAGGTATGCCAAAAGGTTGTCTATTATTATCCACTTTGAAGTTGGTTTATATCCTTTGTGGCACAAAGGATTTATAATTTTCTGTATAGTGCTCAAAGTCTACTGTATGTATCACATCTGGTATATTTAACGATTCCAATAACCAGATCAAAGCCACAAATACTGGAAATGTTGTAAAATCTATAATTCTAAAAACTCATTCCCTTTTTAATAAGATGATAGTTTCTATGAATATATATGAATATGAAATGAAAATAAAAAGTATTTTTTTACTGCTCACCAAAATACAATTAAATAAAAAAAGAGGAGTATGATTGGGTGAGGCAGAGGAACTCTCCTCAGGTCTGACTGAACTCTGACCTTTAAAAACTGCAGGCATAAAATAGGCCTTAATCTCAATGAAAGAACTGGAGTTGTGTCTCCACATAAGAAGACATTATAAGACAACTGTGTAAATATTTAATCTTAAACTGGATCCTTAGGAACTTTGCAAGAAGCCAGACAGATTCAGAAGATTCAGGTTTGTTTCTGATTATCTTGTGAATCTGGAACTGAAATTATCAAAAAGTAACTGCAGTTAATGGAAAAGCAAAAACGTTAATGACCACTTAATGCTTGAAGAGCAATTGATCAAGATCGACCTTTCCAAAGATTAAAAAATATCTAGAAAAATACAAGTTCCTTAAGGGGAAACTAAGAATAGATTAGAGACAGCCTCTTACGTTTCCACGGGAAAATGCATGGTTAGTGATAGATAAATTATGGAAACAAACAAGAACCATTTTATATATCATGCACACCTCAAACAAACACATGCTCTGTAACACCCAAGCAGATAAAATGATTTATAGAGCAATTATAGAGGGTCAATGAGAAAAAAGAAAACAAAAAGGATACACAGTATCAGATCTAATAGAGAAAATGTAAACTATAAGCAAAAACTATAATACACAAATATGTGTATCCTATGGAAAACAGGCAGAAACAGGCACATGGGTGAAACCAGATGCAGTTGCAGCAGTTGCAGTCCAAGATCTTAAATCAGGCAGCCGAGTTCATCTTAAGTGCCAGGGCAGAGCACTCACTTTCCCAGGAAATCCCACACCATGCCCCCTATCTGCTGAGGGGCAGCAGACACAGAGGGGAGCGGGTCAGGGGGCCCTCTGCTACCAGAACGAGGGGTGTGGCGTGGGGCAGTGGATGGGGGGCTTTTAAAGAATTATTCAACAAGGGGGGCATAGTTGCGAAGGAGAAGAAGGAGATGTTGAAAATACAGAATAAAATTTGAGAAAAAATAAAGAGGAAATTAAAAGAGGTAAAGGTTGGCCAGTGGTGGAGTAAAGAAGGGAGTGAAAGACAGAGGGAATACAGGATGAGAAAAGTGGGTAAGGATGGTAAAAAAGGACAAGAAATCTCAGTCAATTAGATTGATTAAACTTTGCAAAAGTTGACTCAATGGGTACTGGTCATTATATATAAGAACTAGCTTAACATCTAAACTAAATGATATATGCCATAAGATAAGAGGAACGTTTGTCCAGTGCAAGAGAAAGGTACATTTAAATATTTCTGAAGCTGATCCACTTCTTGGACTAAACTAAAACAAGATATGCCTGGAATTACTGTAGAACAAGACCAAAAAAAAATATTTATTGAAAGGGATTAAATCCCAGTTTGTACATTTTATGACAGGAAGACATTGAATTTTTTTCAAAAAATGAATTAAACCATTCCACTTAAATTCCACAGTAAAAATCAACTGGTGGCAATATCTACCCATTTTATGCTTGACTGGTGCTGATAGGTAAATGGCCACTCAAAGCCTAAACAGGCTTTTTTTCAAAATTAGTAAATGTATCACACACAATGGGACAAGACAATTTACATTTAAAATAAAAAAAAAAACAGTTGGATTGTCTCATTTCAATTCCATATTATCTAATTACCTTAATGTCATAATAGAAATAATTAATCTATCTGTATATTATATTAACCTACTCAAATTAATATTAAACACATTTGATGAGAAATGTTTGCAGTGTAATTGTTATCCTTGAGCAAATGGCTGGAATGTAAAAGGAGAGGAACTAAATAGGCTATGATGGGATTATAAAAACATACAGGACCAGTAAAAACAAACTCCTCTGCGTGACAAGTAATAAGTTGAGAATAAGAATTGTAGCAAGGATGTGAAACACAAAACATTATGCAAAAACAAAAGTTTGAGGAGGAAGAGTGAACAGAACTAACAGCCGTGTATATATAAAAAAAGATAAGTAGAAAAATAAAAATAATGTAGAAAACGACAACACATAACTATTTAAATAAAGACATACTATGGTTTTGGTGAATACTGTAAGTTTATAATTAAAAATAATTATTAGAGCAACACTGTGTAACATTTCACCACTATGATTGCTGGACGTGTAATTTCCAGGTTTAGCAAAGGCCACATTTGGGACTGCCTTGTAAAGACAAAGCCTCATTCAGAGCCGACGCGTTTGGGAGCATATCTCAGACTTGAGTCGAGACTGGTTTATGCACGGGAAGAAGGAAGGAAACAAGGGGAGAAAATATGTGTGCAAGAGGTATTAGATCTGAGAGCATAAACAAATATTTGATGGAGGAGAAAATATGTTTGAGAGAAAGCAGAAGTTTTGAATGTGAGCATTACAAGTTTTGAGTGCAAGTAGAGTAAGTCCTGCTCTCAAACTGAAAATGTGTGCTCTTGGTTTTTGGCAGGGAAACTCTTTTTTTACATAGCATTATGTTGCTGGTGTTAAGTTTCAGTCACAGCACCATGGACAGCACTGTTTGTTTGATTAAAGCAGAGGCCACAGGCTACTATCATACTTAGAAGGATATCTTCCTCTATCATCGATCTTAAAATTTAGTGTAGAAAAATACAAATTCTAATAAAATACATTTTCCAGTGAAAAAATGGATTAGACTCTTTCTAGTTACATAGGGGAGGTTTTGAGAAGGGCAGCTCTCACAGAGCATCAATTCGCGCTGTATGCTGACTAGAAAATTATTAATTATATATCCAAAGTCAGCTAATACTTTGGCCAAAAGTTATACTGTACAGTGGTGTTTTAAGCCATCTGTGATTAGTGCTAGATTTTCTTGATATATAGTCAATAAGATTTTTTACAGAAAATACATTTTTATTTCTTCATTCGGAAAATGACTCACCTTTCCAGCTCAGCAATCTTTTTGTCCTTGTCGTTTTTCTCTGTCTCCACCTCTCGCAGTATGTCCAGCAGCCTCTCCACCTCTGACTGAGCCTTGCCTGCCTCATCTTTGTAGTAGCTCACTTCCTTTTCCAGCAGCTTTACACGGTCCACATACTCCGGATTTCCTCGGGAGCCTGAGTGCTGGTGGTCTACCTCATGAGCCTTCTGCATTCATGTGCCAAAGACAGATACATAGAGTCAGTTCATATTAATGTGCCAAACGAGCCATAGAGAGCACTTCATGACATTTCACTTTGCTTAAAGTTCTTGTGGTAGATCTATCTCAATCTCAATCTCTTTGGGAATACATTGTAACTGAGTGGAGTAAACAAAGTGAGCCAGGCTAACATTACTAGTGCTGGCTCATTAGCTATTATTTAGCTTTATCTGTATGTTCCTCTGACACTCCCAGTCCTCTCCTATTTGGTTAATATGCAGCATGCAGGACAGTGTATGTTTTTTTCTTAGGTCACTACATTATCAAAAACAACATCCCAGATAAAATCTGTAAAAAATTAATCGCACATAATCAAAATCAAGGTTTCATTTCCGCTAAAGTGAACAGCCTAATCACTATTCAAATTCAGTTTTGCATTTGGTTTACTACAAAGAATCTCATCCCCCTTAGTACAGAATCATACCCACATATGGTACAAAGTTTTACAGAGCCATCTGCCAAAACACAGCAGTGATCTCCACCCACGCCTTGTACAAACACTACCAGCACCACACTGAGAAAACCAAAAGCGTGGTAACAATAAATACATGCAACAAATCATGCAAACCCAACAAAGCTGAAACAGTGTTCGCATTTATCCATATAAAGTGCAAAAAGTGAAGCAAAAAGATTTTAGAAACATTTTTAGCAGTTGGAACAAAATTAGAAGTATTAAAACAGAAGTGGGGTCAAAAGAGCTTTGAAAAAACATTGCACTAGATCTTCTTTATGAGTATTAGCATAACAAGGACTGATCAGAAATGAATGCAACACTTATCAGTTGTGATTTGTAAAAAAGAAATAATGTACTGTATCAGTTACACACCACTTCTATTATTTCTTACTTTATGTTGGTCTATAAAGTCATGATAAAATTGGAGCTGATATTGTAATTTTGGGAAAAAGTGAATAAGCTTAAGGACCACTAATACCTCTATAATAGGACACTTTAATCCTCACAAAGGTGGACAGCAGGTTAAAGAACCAATAACTCATAATACATGAATCATTGTAATAACAACTAAAGTTAGCACACCGAAAATGTTTTAAATTATTTTATTCTTTTAATACATTTCAAGAGAGGTGTTTTGCTCATCTAAAATAATAATAATTTCCATTCCATTCTACCTGTTGTTTTTGGTTGAAATGGAGGGCCATCTATTTCCCAATGGGAAGGAAGAGAAAGTATTTACGAAAAGAAAAAGACATAATAACCGGGAGAAGACAAAAGTCTCTAGTAGCGCAGCTTTTGCCAGGTGGAGACAATTCATGAGAGAGCGGCGCTTCAAAAACTAACAGAGATTGGAGACTTTCTGCTAAACAATTAAGTGAATTCAACACAAGGGTGAAATTTATTTTGCCGTTATGTTAGAAATAGTTTAGTTCAGTCCTCCTGGTCTTGTCTTCCCTTTGGAGATGCCTACTTTTTTTTATTAGCCTCTACTAGGTGACACTTATCGGTTGTCATTCTTCACACAAGTCATACCAGTAGGTGACTGCAGCTATTAGCAGTTGCTTGGTACTAAACACATGAAGGATATAAATGTAAGGTATAGGCACCAATAAGAAAAACCGAATCATGTATGTTCTGTACGTCATCATCTGACGGGACACTTGAAGTCATGGAGGATCATAATATTTGTCATGTTAATGTCACTGCGCCTTCTGTATTAGTTATTACGTAGTTAAAGTGGAGACATCAAAGCACACTTTCTGTTATTTGTTGTTTATTTAGAACAGCACTAGACAGTTGTAGATCACAGACAGGGGGCTTTAAAAGGTATGTATTAAGTATTAAAACCTTAAATTTAAGAATAAAGATTGTCTGAGCTTTTTTTTTTAAATATTGCATTATTTAATATGGAAAAAACATAATCCCAGGTTCAAGAAAACAGCTGTTTTATGCTAAGTCTCTGGTGCCACACAACCTCTAATAATTAACCATTAACAATAATTTAAATAATCAGTTTCTGAAGTGGCCTATTTTCATTTTACAAAAAGGAAAAGACAAGTGAACGTGCCATTTAAAGGAGAATTCCGGTTTTTAACACTTTTAGCCCATTTTCTGTAGTGTCCAGGATGAAATCGAATGATCGACACCAAAATTTTGACAATTGGTCCTGTCTCTGCTTTTTGGCTCATGCAGAATCCCCCCCTGGCTGCTCCAGAATGGCTTCCATAGTGCATGTCCGATAATGTCCTTAAAACAACCTTAAACATTCTTTTTTTTAAATATGCTACTCACCGGGTCGTCAGCGCTGTTCAATGACGTTCCAAAAAAAGTTTCGTAAAGAAAAAACGTTCCTGTAGTGTTTTATTTAGCATTTTGTAAATCCCATTGAGTTCTGTTGGAATAGTCAATATTCCCCTGCCACCGGAAATGGAAATGGGGCCTGTTTACACAGTTGTAGTCTTTTCGCTTCACTCTGTGTACTCCGACGTCGAGAATCAAGAATCCACCTTTCGTATTCCATTTTCAGAGTTTTTTAAAGTGTTTAACAGAGACGTTAGCACCTCGACGTCGGAGTACACAGAGTGAAGCGAAAAGACTACAACTGTGTAAACAGGCCCCATTTCCGTTTCCGGTGGCAGGGGAATATTGACTATTCCAACAGAACTCAATGGGATTTACAAAATGCTAAATAAAACACTACAGGAACGTTTTTTCTTTACGAAATGTTTTTTGGAACGTCATTGAACAGCGCTGACGACCCGGTGAGTAGCATATTTTAAAAAAAGAACGTTTAAGGTTGTTTTAAGGACATTATCGGACATGCACTATGGAAGCCATTCTAAAGCAGCCAGGGGGGGATTCTGCATGAGCCAAAAAGCAGAGACAGGACCAATTGTCAAAATTTTGGTGTCGATCATTCGATTTCATCCTGGACACTACAGAAAATGGGCTAAAAGTGTTAAAAACCGGAATTCTCCTTTAAGCAAAGCGGGTTTTTCTTATTTTATTATTTTGTAAATTTGTGCATGAAAACCCCCAACTACCTAAACTCTAGAATTCATAACAGTACTACAACATTTCAAAAATCTAAAATTACTTGAACTGTGAGAAATAAATCTTTATGAGGATATATGTTTATCCTGCAGAGAGAAGGGTAACCTGGGGGGGAAAAAAAATCATTTTTTTAACCATTATTAACAGAGAGGGCAGCAAAGTGAAAAAAATCAGAAGTCTCATTACTCAAATTATTTAATTTATATTTCTTTTAATAAAATTAATTAGGCGGTTTTGATTCTGTTCTATACATTTATATACACTACCTTAAAAGCCTTAGAGTGCAGAACATTTTAACCTGAATTTTGTTGAAGTTTACTGGAACAATCAAAGAGGCAAAAAATGTGTTCTACCTAACAATTAATGCTAATACAGAAGATTGAATATGAAGTGGTGGAATAAATCCTAATAGATGTTTTGAGGTAATTTTGGCTACAATAAAGATTCATTAAAGGAACAAAAAATCTCACTGTGTCACACTGTTTTCACACATAAACACACAAACTTACAACACTGTAAGAGGACAATGCACAGGAATCTTATTTCAGTTTGAAGTTCATAATATTTGGACAGCGCAATGGGCAACATGCATGCCGATGGGGAAAAGCAGTGCCTGCGTAAGAATCGCCATGATCACCATCTGACATTAAAATAACTTCTCAGTGTCCTCATGCTTTCAATGTGCGCCTCACAGGCCTCAAGACAGGAACTTACAGGATTGTTCATGTGACTGAATAGCTGCTCAGCTTGCTACTTTGCCAACAGAGGGAGGATGAAGAAGGGACATTAGAAAGGAGGGGTAGGAGTGGGGGTAGGGGGTCAAGGAGAGTTAATTGTTAAGGCTTAGATTTAGCTACAGTAGGATGAGACAATACAGGTTTTATAGCAAAGCAACACAGTTTCAGCACTGAACGTGTTGTTAAAGGTTAACAGCAGCAAAACACAGACAACTGCAGACAGGCAGACTCTGGGATGGTCAGTGGATTATGAAGACAAAGGATATAGAGGAATTCTTTATTCTGTGAAACACTGTAACAAAGTAGAGCAGCTTGCAACAGATCATAAAAAGTGACAACAGCCACTATCCTTAAAATATGTGATTTATGTATTAATGTTTCTGTTTGGACAAGCTCTGAGTGACACAACTTTCCAAAAACGAAATAACATAAAATAAAAATGTACCTAACATATTTTGGTTCTGTATAAAGCAACAGGAAAACGATTAGAAATAAGGTAATATTTTGTAGTTTATTTGAAGGGGAAAACATGTAACATCTTTTTCTTATGATTTTTTTTTTTTTATTTATTTACTTTTTTTTTTCAAAAAAAGTATTTTTGCACATTTTGTCACATGTATGTGATAAACCCCTGACAATGCTGTGCAAAGTTTTATGGTTGACAAAGTAAGGACATACTGAGTTTTATTAGGATATTTGTTACAAAAACAATCCTTTTTTTTTTCCTTTACAAATGAAATGGAGACAAGTGAAAGACGAGTGGGTATCTATGTCTCCCCCTAGCTCAGCCATGTTGAAGTTCACCCTAATGGATAAGAGGGTCCCTTTCTTGTGCCTTCAGATGTGGTAGATGTCTCTGACTGATGTCTCGGCCTAGGGGATGAGCGGCGGTATGGAGTACCAGGCCTTCTTAGCATCCTTGTCTTGGGGGCTGGATAGTGCCCCTTCTTGGGTATTGTATCTATATGGTGGGGGAATTCAACCCCTATGTGAGAAAAAAGCATGCCCCTACAGTGATGTGAACTTTAGGGGCATGTCTGGAGGAACGGAGCCCCAGCTGGAATCAATTGGTAGAGCCTTCAGTCAAGGATTTAATCAGCTCCAGGAGAGCTTCTTTAATATCCCAGCCTAGGCTGGGGACATGAAGTCAGAATTAACTGTGTTACTTGCCATTATTATTTAGCAGGCTGCCTGTAGCAGTGGCCTTAAGCTCTACGGTGACTCTTGTGGTGGCAATCATCAAACAAGGTGGTGGACACCAGCATAAAGGGATTTTGTCATACTGAAAAAGTAGTACTGTTGCGTTTGGCTAGCTTGTGAGACTCCACAGGCAGCAAGTAAGTACCATGGGGCCAAGTGTACCATTATGGCACATCAGACAATACTATAGTTTGGCCTACCTCAGAGTGATTCTGGCAAAAACGTTTTGATGGAAGCAGGGAGCTGCTGACCTTGACTGGGGATTGTCAGGAAGTGGAAGAACTAAATTGAAGATTTCCTCAATTTAGTTGACCCGCATTAGCTGCCGGAAGCAGAAACTGCATGCACTGGAGCCACACTTGCTTATCGCCCAGGCTGAACTCACCACGGTGGTAAGAAAAGGTTTCACTGGCAAGGGATTGGATTTGGATTATATTCACCTAAAGTACCTAAAGTCTCTAGATGTTGAGCTTTCATGGCGGACAGGCTGTGTGCCAGCCAGGAATAGTGCCCTTGGACTGGAAGACTGGGGTGGTGGGAGGGTATGTTCCAAGGGGGATCACACCTGTCAGCTTCCTCAGAAAGGCTTATGCCAGGGGACTTGAGAGGAGAGTCTAAATGACTGTTGAACCTGGGGTTCATGGGGTACAAAGCAATGGTTTGGTCACCAGAATTGGTTTAAAACTGACGGGGCATCAGGCACATATTTTTAGCGGTTTCTGATTTCCTGGGCAGTATGTATACTAGAGTATACCTGTTGACTTCTCTAATTATGGCTCTCACTGTCCGGTCTGTTAGTTGAGGTGAACCCCATGTCATGGTAGGTTTGTGGATGATGGACTAAACATTGCTTTGTCAGCTGTTTAGCTTTATTTTAGACCTGCACACTTCTTTCTTCCTAACCTGTCTGCTGTGGTCCTTGGTCATCATGATGCTGTTGGTTCACTAATGTTAGCAACTTTAATACATACTAAGTTTCTTGACAATTGGAGGCACAACTTCATGAAGGAGTAGTAGAGTGAATGGGCTTAATAGAGGATCCTTATTTAAATTCCACTTCAGAGTCATGCACTACTTCGTGTTAATTCATCACACAAAATAACAAAATAGCTTGTGGTTGCAATTTGACAAAATGGTGCAAAATAGCAAAACAAAAATCAAAAATTCAAAGAAAACGAAATGCTATCATCATATGCATCTTAAGTCTTAAGATGATTACTTTAACTTCAAGTTTTACATGTAGGTAAGTCAGAAAATGGTGAAGCTCTAATTTGTGCTTATAGTGCTTGCATCTCTCAAAACTGAAAATTTCTGCACAACTGACTTTACGTCTAAATGTGACCTAAAAATGTTTAGCTAGTGGTTTTGTTAACAGAATAAAACCATCTCTTAAAAACCTGTTGATAAGTGATCAAACACTAAGAGGAGGATATATACCTACCTTTTGCAACTGCGTCTCCAACTTACTACACTCCTCTTTCTTCTGCTCAATGGCAATTTCCAGGGACTTAAGCTTTGAGTCCTTTTTAAGTCCAGAAGACGCCAGTGATGAAGCATGCTCTTTGAGATCAATCAGACTGGACTGCAGGTAGAGAATTAACATAGATGTTCACATGTTTAAATCCAGCTGCCTTGTACACATCAGCAAGTGTAAAAATGTCACAGCATCACAGGACAGTGGGTGAAAGAGACACACAGTAGATGCACTACAGTGCTTACAAAGAGTTGTGTTGGATGCTGTACAAAGAAACAATTGGATCCAACCCAACACCCTTGCAGAGACAATCTCACACTTACTTCCTTCTCTGTTAGCTCTATCTGCAGGCTGTTGACCTTCTCCTTCAACTCTTTGTTTTCCTTCTTATAGGACTCCACTTCTTCCAGACGCTCTCTGTCTTCCCTCTCCCTTTGGTCCTTTAATCGCTCAATAATTCTCTCCTAACAAAAACATAAAGATCATAAATAAAGAAATGCAAGTACAAAATTACTATACACTCACCGGCCACTTTATTAGGTACACCTGTCCAACTGCTCGTTAACACTTAATTTCTAAGCAGCCAATCACATGGCGGCAACTCAGTGCATTTAGGCATGCAGACATGGTCAAGACAATCTCCTGCAGTTCAAACCGAGCATCAGTATGGGGAAGAAAGGTGATTTGAGTGACTTTGAACGTGGCATGATTGTTGGTGCCAGAAGGGCTGGTCTGAGTATTTCAGAAACTGCTGATCTACTGGGATTTTCACGCACAACCATCTCTAGGGTTTACAGAGAATGGTCCGAAAAAGAAAAAACATCCAGTGAGCGGAAGTTCTGTGGGCGGAAATGCCTTGTTGATGGCAGAGGTCAGAGGAGACTGGCCAGACTGGTTCGAGCTGATAGAAGGGCAACAGTGACTCAAATAACCACCCGTTACAACCATGGTGGGCAGAAGAGCATCTCTGAACGCACAGTACGTCGAACTTTGAGGCAGATGGGCTACAGCAGCAGAAGACCACACCGGGTGCCACTCCTTTCAGCTAAGAACAGGAAACTGAGGCTACAATTTGCACAGGCTCATCGAAATTGGACAAGAGAAGATTGGAAAAACGTTGCCTGGTCTGATGAGTCTCGATTTCTGCTGCGACATTCGGATGGTAGGGTCAGAATTTGGCGTCTACAACATGAAAGCATGGATCCATCCTGCCTTGTATCAACGGTTCAGGCTGGTGGTGGTGGTGTCATGGTGTGGGGAATATTTTCTTGGCACTCTTTGGGCCCCTTGGTACCAATTGAGCATCGTTGCAACGCCACAGCCTACCTGAGTATTGTTGCTGACCATGTCCATCCCTTTATGACCACAATGTACCCAACTTCTGATGGCTACTTTCAGCAGGATAATGCGCCATGTCATAAAGCTGGAATCATCTCAGACTGGTTTCTTGAACATGACAATGAGTTCACTGTACTCAAATGGCCTCCACAGTCACCAGATCTCAATCCAATAGAGCATCTTTGGGATGTGGTTGAACGGGTGATTCGCATCATGGATGTGCAGCCGACAAATCTGCGGCAACTGTGTGATGCCATCATGTCAATATGGACCAAACTCCCTGAGGAATGCTTCCAGCACCTTGTTGAATCTATGCCACGAAGAATTGAGGCAGTTCTGAAGGCAAAAGGGGGTCCAACCCGTTACAAGCATGGGGTACCTAATAAAGTGGCCGGTGAGTGTATATACTGTATATATATATATATATATACACACACACACATATATATATATATATATATATATATATATATATATATAAACTTCATAAAAACTGTTGATTTCAACCATTAAGACATGTAGCATTTTCGCAAGAGATGTACACCTGTAAGTGTGTTAAATTAACTGAATGAAAAATTATCAGTAACATCTTAACAGCTAATTTCCCTCAAAATATCATCTTGTAATTTTGTATTTTTAAAGCACTTCTTCCCATTTGGACATGTCTGCACATTTTCACTGCATAGCAACCTACTTCAGGGTATTTTATTGGGATTTTTTTCCAACATTAACTGTTGTGAAAATTGAACATTTACATACAGTAATGTAGTGAGACATCAAGATACAAATAAAATAATAAACATGTATGTGTGTTGCGAGTGCATAGTGTCACACAGTCATCATGGTTCAATTCTCTGCCCATGGTTCAATTCTCTGCCCTGCAGATACCCTGCAGACCTTTTTTGTCACATATGTCCAACTTGACTCCTGTAATGTGTTCTACCTTTTCTGAGAGTGCCTCCTCCAGGGTGGCCAGGGCAGTGTCTGTGTTACTGGAATCGGTCTGCAGAGACTTGATTCTGTCCTTAAGGTTTCCCAGCTGCTTGTCTTTGTCCCTCAGCTGCTCCTGCAGGTTCTCAATCTGATTCATTAGAAAAAATAAAATAAACATATTATTAAAGCTGGGCCAAGAATGGCATAAAATTTCAGCTACACATTCAAAAAAGGGAAAATAAAAAACCGGTGCACTCATAGTAAAGCTATTTTTGGTTAAGGGGCTTAAATAAATACTTACTATATTAACTACTAAAAACAGTTATTAAATCATGCATTAGACACATCTAGTGTGTAAAATGCTTCCTATAACTCTAAAAGTTTATGATTACATCTAACATTCATGTCAGCATGATGTTGTAGTTGGTATTGTTTGCCTTTGCCTCCATATCTTGTCTGCTGGCTAGTTTATTTCCAGGTTGTTTTGATAATTATACACATTCTAATTTTCCTTTTCCTTCCTTTGACATAGAATTTTTATTTCATTTTTTAAATTCTATTCAAGGAATTTAAATAATCTAGTCATGATATAGTAACTATTGCCAGTATAATAATAAACAAACTACCACTGCTACTACTCAATTTTTTGATTGTTTTCTCTGAAGTTCTTTAACTAAATGTCTTAATTTCCTGGTATGTTTTACTTAAATCAATTATGTATGTTTAAGCTTTCTGTTGATGGCTGTCGGCCACTTATATATTTCAGGCTTGAAGCACATGAATTGATATAAACAATCTTCCTTTTGCTTTTTAGATTCAACTTCTAATATTTTAATCAAAACCACAGCCTCCATGTTTATGTTCCCTATAGAGGCATTAAGAAATCATTTATTCCAAGAAATTGAAAAGTCTCTACTTTTGATATTTGCAAAATCCTCTCAGAAAGTAGAAGATTTTTTTTCTTTTTTTAAATAGCTACCACAGTATTTAATCAAGTCAGGTTAAACAATGCTAGCAATATTTAGGAATCGAGGAGACAAACCTGTTTGGCTTTAAAATGAAAAGCTTTCATTTTCTTGTTGACCTAGGAAAGGCAAATTTATTGATGCAGCTCCCCATACTGTACACAATGCCATCCAAAGTGCTTTGCAGGATATTAAAGAAAAAAACAAAAAAAACAAACAAAAGATTTACATTTCAGTTAAACGAGAGCTTAATACAATTACTAATAAAAAATAAATAAATAAAATCAGGATTTAAAAGGCAAGGATAGGACCCTTTTAAAGTTCAATGAAAATCTAACTGCCAATTTAACAAGTCAATAATTTACCATGCTCGGGAAAATTGTACATTTGGTCATGGCCTGAACAGGGAGCCATGCTGTGATTCAAGACCTAGTTTAAGATGATCTATATATACCTTGGGTTGGTCAAGACACTCTTTTTCCATCTTTTTAAAATAACAATAAGCTGAATCAACTGGCTTTATGTGGTCATTAAAGTATAGATCTGTATACAAAACATCACCATTTTCTTAGCAGGAAATATGGTCTTAGCCCCATCAATTATAGTTACTGAAGTTGGAGGAAATGTTGACACATGCACTCATTGACAATATGGATAAAGAGAAAGGTTGTTGAAAGTTGCTGTCATATAGTGACAGAGATGTACAGTTGTGTTCTCAGCACATGCTGTATCATTTTACAATCTAAGCTATGGAGATATGTTAAAGGTATAGAGGATGATCTTTTATTTCTGGGTGGATCATCTAAATAAGTGGTACTGTTTATTTGCTGTAACAGCAACCCGCTGTCGCCATAGGCTGTCACTACCCGACAGCGGTGACTAATAACAAAGATGGCGCTGGCACCACGCAGTGGACCAACTGGGAACAAAGAGCAGTAATCATCTGTTTGAAAAGTAAGTTAACTAAGTTCACTTTAAAGTCCACTATATAGTCCCCGCTCTATATAGTGGTTAGGGTGGACAATTGGGCACCGTAAGCTTGTTGCAGCTATAAGAACAACAACTTTTAAACGGAGCGTGTATGAGTTGTGCTTTTTTTTTTAAGTGGAGAGGGCAGGTATTTTCAAAGCTTTGCGAAAATCCTCTACAATACCTTTAAATAAAAGTACATTGAGGATGGCCCCAAAAGGAAGTTTTCAAAGAATTTTCTACCTGCTTGGAAATAGATTTACCAAATGATATGGATCTCTGTAATCCATGTCTGTCGAAAGATTGAAACCGGTTCTGCAGGGCACCAGACCATCCACGTACTTTTCCCAACATACACTATACTGAAAAAAGTACTAGCTTGCCCATTGAAATTGTAGGTTTTCCAAACACTTCATAGCCAAATCAAGCACCTAGGCATGCAGACTGTTGTTACAAACATTTGTGAATGTATGGGTCTCTATTAGGTGGTCAGGGTATTCCAGAACTGTGAATAGCAATGTGCAACAAATCCAGTCGTCGCAACTTCCCTGCAAATGTTTTCATCAAGATGTTGTAAATATGCAAAATGGTATCAAAACAAGTGCACCAAGTTATGTTTTTTCTCACTCATCTTTCACAACTGTTGTTTGAGGTTTTCTCCTCTCCTCTCACCTTTTTCTGCAGGACATTAATCTTCCTTTCCTTAACCTCCAGCATGTCCTTCATGTCTCTGATCTCTCCAGCAAGAGTTCCCTTCTCCTCGGTCAGGTCCTGCAGCTGTTTAGTTTTTTTATTCAGGAAGGATTCCTTTTCCTCCAGACGCAGGCGTAAAGCATCCACCTGAAGAATGGCACAATCACAGACAGGTTCAAACGTGACAGTCCCACTGCTTTTATCAAACAGTGCTCATAAGGACGATCTGAGGTCTTTCACCTTAAAGTCACTTGAGACAGCTGCTGGGTTTTTTCTTTAAACCATGTTGGATTTATGTTTTTGGGACAAATGTCGGGTAGCTTAATCAAACATTTGTTAAAAAATAGTTACCAAGTTTTTTGGGTTGAAGGCACAAAAAAGGTGCCTTGTCATTCTTCAATCTGAATCTTTGTCACAGGGTGCAAAAAACAAATGGTTGGAGGTAAAATAAGAGTAACTTAAAATAAATTTAATTTTAATAAAACAGCTGTTCACAAAGCCCCCAAAGACAAGTAATATTCAATATACTCTTATGTGCTATATAGGAATAACATGTTGACACTTAATAAAGTGCTGATCCCTCAACAGCCCTCTATGCAACTAACTCAAATACACAGTTTATTCTGACACCTTCCTCTCAGAATCAGCAATAACTTCTACAGCATCTACATGTTGATCACAAAGGCAATCTTGCACTCTTAGCATGTCTTAGCAAACTTTGAACACATGTGACCTGGATGGCTACCATTGTTTCTTACTTACACAACACTTGATAGATAATGACCTGACATGAAACTACCAGAATCGCCCGTCCATCACAGTTTGGCCACTGTTCAAACTGTTGTGAGATTGTGTGTTTTCCCACTTCTGACCAACCGCCTTTGAGGAAAGCTACCATATAATCCTTTGAGCATCTGCTCCAACTAACATGTCTCACACTGCAAAAATGATCATTTTTCTTGAATTGAGGAGGTGAGGCACTTTGCCAATGAAAGAAGACAATTTACATTTAAAATATGAAAAAAAAATGTATGGTCTTACTTCAAGAGTGTATTATCTAACTATCTTATTTTAAGAGTTAAAAAAATCTAATTCGATTGGCAAATCATCCTTTATACCTACTTAAATAAAGGGTAAATACACTTTATTTAAGAAATGTTTCCTTATTTCTTGATTAGGGAAGGGAACTGGGAATCGTTCAGAACCGGTTCCGTGTGTTCGAATTCCATTGCACCGTTTGGCAGCTCGCTTAACAATTCTCTTATTGATTCGAGGCAGCACCAGAGCCTAGGGCTCTGGGCTGTGCTTAATGTTGTTCCTAGAAAATCATAAGGCATTTCTGGAAATAAGCCAATTTCCCACCTCTCTTTGGGGTTATTAAAGGAGTGTGTCTTTCTCGTTAATCCAGCCCTTCATTGTTAGCATGTTTAATTAGAACTACTGGTACCTGGAATTCTTACATGATTCTAGCTATTGCAATGGATGTAAAGAAACATGCTACGAAGGTGCTCCGCAGTTCAGGGAGCCAGAGAAAGGTGACGCTTGTTTATTTGAATCAGGCGGAGATTAGTTTATTTCCCAAAATTGTAGACTAATGCCTTTTCATTAAACGGAATCGAATTAAAAGAATCAATAAGGGAATTGGAATCGTGAAAATCTTATCAATTCCCAAATTTATTCTTGATCATATTTGCTGTGCATGATGGAAAGATAAAAGGTGTGATTTACTTCACACTGCAAAAAAAATTATATCTAATCTGCCAATGGAACAAGATCATTTCTATTTAAATAGGAAAAAAACAATTGTATTGTCTTATTTCATGTGCATGATATCCAATTATCTTATTTCAGGTGGAAATATACTCATTCCATTAAAAAACATCTTATTTACCTACTCAAATTAAGGGTAAATACACTTAATTTAAGACATTTTTACTAATTTCTAAGTTGTTTTTGCAGTGAATGTTACCACTGATTGTGTGTATTGGTAGATTTCATCAAACACACTTAGTGGCCATTTAGGAACAAGAATGGGAAGTAAGGACAGTGTATTGCAGGACAAAAAAAAAACATTTTAAGCAACATATATAAGAACATTGAAGGTTCTTGTCATTGTAATTCTTTTTAATCTACTTTTCTGGTTAAAAATACATATGCTGCAACCCATACCATGATCTTCTGGTGTTAATATAGGATTCAAACTGGGATAAAAAAAAAAAAACTAACCATCATCTCAAAACTATAAACATTTTTAAAACTAATGATGCATTCCCTGAAACTAATAAGTAAATAAAAGTAATACTGTTAATTGATGGAACTTTGAGGAAAACAAATGGAGGACTTGGGTCAAGGTCACACTTTTCAAGCCCAGTAGAGAAATAAAGTGAAAAAAAACCTTTTGCCTCTTACTTTGAAACCAACTGTTCTCTCTGAACATTGTTCAGAAAACAATTACCTAAAATAAAAGCAATGCATCATGTCCTTCCTAAATAAGAGAAATTTAGTTTTAGTTGGAAAACACATAAATAATATTTTGAATTACCTCTGTTTGCAGGATGGCAGCACGTTGCTCTTTGGCAGTGAGAGACTCTTTGAGGACCTCAATATGTTGTTTGCAGTCCGAGTTCTGGTTATTGAGCGTCTCTAGCTTGGTCTGCAGAGCAAGCAGCTCTGACTCTTTCTTTGACAGCTCCTGCTTCAGTTGGTCAATCTGTGCAATACACATATAAACAACCTCTTAACTTTATGACTGACCCCACACATCAACAATATATTCTTTTTACCTGGAAAATGCCTGTATGTGTGTGTCTGTGTAAAACATAACCTTGCTGAACAGTGAGCTTTTCAATGGACCACCACCTTCATCAACATACTTTTTCTCTTATTAAAAATGCATTTTAAGCTCACTCCCTTCCATTTGTTATATATTATACATTGTTCCTATTCATGATTGATGAAAATAGGTTTAAAAATAGTGCAACACAACTATAACTCCTCTGTTATTGGTAGTGTTTTATATAGAGCTCTTTGTAAACACAGTTTGAAACCTCTGAGAAAAACACTGAAGCACACGCTACTGTTGACCGGCTGTGGTCATTTAAATCCCTTTACCATTTTGGAGTTTAGATCAGTTCATGCAAGAAAAAAGGTGTAATGGTGCCCTCTACCACTGTTTATTTTTTGCCAACCATATACCTGTTATGGTTCTCCCATTTTAGACTTCTTTTTTAGTTTCCAGTTATTTTTTCCATTCTGTTTTGTTGGTCATTGGTTTATTTTCCATTTTGTCTTATATTTAAGCCGTGTTGAATTTTTTGAGTTACTCTCTGTTGCCCCCTGGTGCCAATCTGCTTTTCCCTACCTCCCTTCTAGTTAATTCTTTCACACCTGCTCCCTATCAGCTGATTAGCCCATACTTTGTTCTGACCCCATATATACACCTCCTGTGCAGTTCCTCATTGCTAGTTTCTCATTGTTACTTGGCTCCTCATGTGTGTTCCCCCCTGATGCCTCATTGTTTTTCAGTTTCCTGTACTGTACATACCTTATGAAATAATTCCAATAACTAAAATACAATTACATTATATTACATGCTAATCCTGGGTTTGAAACTAATTCTGGAATACTATTACAGAAACTTTGGTTTTCTGCCTGTGCATGGTTTCTCTCTCAGTGCTCTGTCTTCCTACGAAAATCGAAAAAAGCTGCTTTAAGGTTTACTGGTATCTTTAGGTTACCCTTAGCAGTCAATGGGTGTGTTTGCTTATGTGTATAAATATAAATAAATATTGTTGTTTTACTCTCTGTGTTGTGCTCTGATGGAGTGGCGAATTGTGTCTAAGTGTCTAACCAAGTTTTCACCCATTCACTTTTGGAGATAGACCTGTGCAACCATAAAAGAATAAGGAAGGACGAATAAATGTAGAAGTTTTTTTTTTTTTACTAATTTTTACTTACTTTTTTACATAATTGAACAGAAATTCAAATAATTGAATGCATGATAATGTTTGTGCATGAGTATAATGTTTTTCCTCATGGGTATAAAATGCAAACACAAACAAATTTTTAAGTAACTGCCAGACAACTGAAGAAAAGAAAATTTACAGACCTACCAGCCCTACCTGCAACTGATTTGTGTTTTATATGTTAAACGTAAACCTATAGGTTTAGACACCACGGTGCATCCAGAAAATATTCACAGAGCTGCACTTTTTCACATGTGTGGTTAAAACATTTTATTCCAAAATGAATTACAATAAATCCTCAAAAGTCTAAACACAAAACCAAATAATTAAAATGTATAAAAGTTTTTTTGAGTTTATGAAAAATGTATTAGAAAACTTGGAAATCACTTTTCCTTACACATAGGACAAATTTGTTGGTATCTCTTGTTTAATGCTCACATAAATAAACCGGAATCTAACAAAATTATAAATGAATAAATTAAGGACATTGCTTTTCAACCATGCTTCAACATAATTATATAAAAATAAAAAAAAACATACAAACATATGAAGCAGGACTGGACAGAAAATGATGCAACCCTTAACTCAATATGTTGATGCACTACCTTTTGAGTCAATTCCTGCAATCAAACAATCTCTGGAACTCTCTGTGACTTCTGCTTCTCTCAGCAGGTTTCTTGACCCTCTCCTCATGAACAAACTGCTCCAGTTGTTTTGGGTGTAAAAAGGAGCCTTTTCCAGACTGCATGTTTCAGCTCCTTCCAAAGATGCTCAATAGGATTTAGGTCAGAACTAATAAAAGGACACTTCAGAATGGTCCAATGTTTTCCTGATAGCCATTCTTTGGTGTTTTTAGCTGTGCCTTTTGGGTCATTATCCTGTTGAAGACCAGTGAACTGTGACTGAGACCAAAGTCTCTGACAGTGAGCAGCACATTTCTCTCCACAGTCCTTCGAGTCTTGATATTGCATTGAACCTTACAGAGACACCCTGTGTCAGATGAAGCGAAGCAGCCCTAGAGCATAACAGAGCCCCCTCCATGTTTCACAGTAAGAACAGTGTTCTTTTCTTGATATGCTTCGTTTTTCTGCCTGTGAATATACAGCTGGCATGCTTTGGTAAAAAAACTTAGGGACCAGCTGCTAACAAAAAAATTGTAGACACCTGTGATGCTAATCAGTGGATACATCTTTAACATGTCCTTAGTTTCCAAGCCTGTTTCATTAGTTTATTTTTGCTTAATCATTCTATTAAGGCATGGTTGAAAAGCCATGTCTGATTTTCATTTTTTTTCTTTTTTATTAATTTTATCAAAACATACTTTTTAACTTATTGTTAGTCAGACTCAAGTTATTTCTGTGGCCGTTGAGGGTTTGTCTTTCTTTAAGAGAGGCGTACCAACAATTTTGTCTGTGTTTAGCTCCTGCAATTGCTTTAACTGTTATTTACTGCTACTGAAAAATATCCCCATAGAATAATACTGCCACCACCATGCATTTTAAGATCCACTCTTAGGAGTGTTGATATATATTCTGTGTTAAGAGTAGTAATAAGCTGCCTGGGATTTTATTTTCTCAGAACACGTTATTTGTTTTTTAGTGGTTGTTTGGGTGTAGTAAAGAACATCCATACTATCCCCTTCTAAACCTTTAATGTGTTCAGCAAGGTTTGTTTGCAGAGACCATCTACACTGAACATAAAACGAGCAGAAAAAGCACTGATTAAAGCACAATCTTTCCTCTGAATCTGCATGCACATGACCTCTACCTTGGTTTTCATAAACTTGGAGTGGTTCTTGTAGACCTCCATCTGTTTGATTTCCTCCTCTCGGTCCTCTGTGTTTAGTAAGCTGTTTGCCTTCAGCATTTGGATCTCATCCTCCAGATCTCGAATGTTGCGCTCCAGAGAAGCAATTTTGGTATCCTGTACACAAACATGTAAAGAAGTCACTCCTCGAAACTAAGACCTGTACTTCCGCTAAGTGCATTTTGCAAATAAATTAGCACTACAAACAAGACTCCAGAAATAAATACAAAGATTGAATGCAGCCGCAATGATATGGACAGATAGAGAAACAGAACAGACACTAAAACTGGACATGCAGAGAGATAAAGAATGAACAGAAGAAGATCTTGGCTTTGGCTCGGAACAACTGCAGAATCTGTCTGTGAAATCAAAAGCGTTCTACCCAGCTCTTTGCAGTGGCTCAAAGGATTAATCACCATTGGAAAATATTGAGTGAACATCCAGCACAGACTAATCCTTCAAAAACGAAGAGAGGGGCGTGCAAAAACAAGGAAATAAAGTAAAAAGCTGTAGCTTCAGTTGTGGAGACTCCCAGATAAACTGCAGAATCCAGTCGCTGGACTGAAACTCAGAGACCAGCTTTAGCTTCACGGCTTTTAAATAAATAATACTACGTCTTTAAGATTAGCCATGGTTCATCTCCCTCTCCAGTAGTACATAGAGCACCCTTTTTTCTTTCTGGCTTGCTCTCTTTTTTCATATCCTTCCTTTTTCTTTGTGAACTTGTGAACTTAAAGCCTTTAGCAGGGTCAGCCACAGCCCGCTGCAGATCAATGTGGGTGATGAGTTGCAATGAAAAATGAAGGATTGGAAATTTAACGTCAATGCATGGAGCGCCGCTCATGTGCATGCACTTCACCCTGCTGCTGCATCTCACCTTCCAAGCCGAACATCAATGAAGTGACAATTCTGCAACAGACATGAGGCGCCATACCTTCGCAGATGAATGATTTTATCCTACGGACCTGGTCAGTGAATTGTGCTCGTTATCTTTTCCTGCATCTGTACATCCCTCTGTCTCTCCATCTCCCTGCATACTGGCCTCTCACTGTCATAAACAACCACACCTGTTTCCATGGCAGCAGCAGGCAGGCTATATACGGTGCACCGTCTCTGGTGAGTGAGGAGGAATAGAAAGGCGGGAGGGATGGAGATGAGGGGGAGGGAGGGAGCTAGGATTATTTGAGCCTCCATCAGCATCAACAGAGAAAGGGAGAGATGGGAGAAACAGGGTCTTCCTACACAGCAAAGGAGAAGGAGGAGAAGGCGGGACTTCCCTCACCCTGTATGATAATCAACAGGGTACAGAGCGCCCTCGAGTCACATGACCAGACTGTGGAAGGCTGGGCCGGCTGCAGCCGAGCGAGAGGGGCTGTGTCAGCTCAGCAATGATGTCATGATTTATTTTGAGGAAGTGATGTCAGGCCTCTGCAGTGAGGCTGAGGGTGTCTACAGCAATTGAGTTGCTTGATGTGTTCTGATATTCTCCACTGTAATAGTCATATTATATTGCTTGTTTTTTTTCTTTGGGTACACTGATGCTTTTTTTGCATCAGAGTTACATTTGTGTTCAGTAGTGGAATACAGATTTATGAAACCAAATTAAAGAACTTAAGCAAGAAGCAAAATATAGTTTGGGTGGCCTGAAAACCATTATGTTTTTAATTTTAAACATGTTTACATCTATTTTTATCTTTATCATTCAACAGTTTTTGCTATAGAACCTTTCACAATAGTTTTCACAACCCTTGAAATTGTTCAGGTATTGTTACAAACATGAAAATCCATTTATTTTGTCTTGATTTTTATGTTATTTTTACTTGAATCTGCAGAGCTCTTGTAGGGCCAGAGTGTCCGTGCCTGTTTGAAGACAGCCATGTAATAAAACAAATTGTTGAAAAGGGGATCCCATTAGTTGTCATGCAACCTTATTGTGTTTCAGTTTGATGTCTCTTCAGCAAACCAAAGAGGATGAAATGTTCACTCTTGTTCAAGCTAGCACAAAGGCTTTGAAAGCCGATACAGCACAGTTCCATGTTTGAGAATCAGAGATGTGACAGCGGGCTGACGATTGACTCAGCTGCAGCAAATTGCAGCGACAACAATAGTTTCAGCAGAACATCCATCAGCAAAAGCCTCAGTAGAAAACACAATAGAAAGCTTAGAATGGAAGTACATGAATGAACATTTGCTTTCATATAAACGGTAAGCTCTTGCGAGTAGTAAATCTTACTTTCATCTCTATGATGGTCTGCAGGGCCTTGGTTTTACTGGGATCCTGGTGAAGCTGATTTCTTCTGTGCAGTTCCTTTATCGAAACAACAACAAAGAATACCTTTTATTTGTTCTGTAATGTAAGCAATAGAATGAAAACAGGAGGGACATAATGACTATGTAAAAGTTGTGTCTGTTCACACTCATCGTGTTGCATTTATAAATGTGATCTGCAGACTTTCTACATGCATTACATAATCCATGTACTGTAGTAGAGGAGCAGAGAAGAGTCCACTGACTTTATCATACTCAGCATTGCCATCTGGTGGCACCCAAACAAAAGACATTAAAATGTGAATACGCTTTGGTCAAACTGTACCTCACGCAAATGGATATTTTCCTTCTCCTTCTGATCCAAAATTACTTCCAGGTGTCCAAGCTGGGCTTCTGCTTCAGCAATACGCCTTGCTCTCTCCTGCTCTTCCTCTTCGGATGCTCTGCCCGGCCCAGGAGGCAGCCCCTTGCTTTGCAGCATCTCCAGCAGCTTCTTAATGGACTCATCCCTGGCACCAAGCGTTTGTTTCTGGGTCTCTATTCTTAGCTCCATCTCCTCCAGGGTTTTCCTAAGAAGGAAAAGCTCTTTGGCCTGCCTGTCGTGCTCAGCTTGCAGCCGGCGGAAGTTCTCCTCCGTCAGCTCGATGGTGGTGAAATGCTCTGAGCCAGATCGGTTCCCGCTCTCCTGCTGAAGCAGGTGGTTGAGGTCTCGCTGTGTGTGCAGTTCATCCTGTAAAGCCTGGATGGTCATCTGGAGATGCTGCACGAGAAAAGGAAAGACATGGACGTACACACACAAACAAACACCCGACGCATTTAGAAAAAATACATCAAATCTAGTATCATTTTAGGTAAAAAATAACATCAAGATGCAATCACACAAATGTGAAGAACTGGGAAGACTTTAACCATCAACAACATTACCACTTAAATTAAAGCATTTGGGTGTCTAAAAGAATATCCAGTTTTATTAGAAAATCATTATTTCTATAGAAGCCATTAACAGGGAGAATTTCTCCAAAACTGATTATTTCTTTACCATTTGACATTCATCACAAGGGTCCTGATCACATATATGTATTAAATCTCTGAAGGGTTTCACTATAGAAAAATAACATCAAAGTCCAAAAGTAAAATGTTATTAAAGCTGCATAGTCTGAAAAATGTAATTAGTTAACTCTAAAAACCATTTTTTTTTTTTGTTGTCTTGATTTTATACAAGGACAACGCACAACATTACATTTTAAAAAGAAATATGCATGGTGCAAAGTTATCGCAAACAATTTTAATTTGTGTTCTTCTGTTGCTAACCACTATGTTTCAAAACCACTATGTTGATTTTGAAACAGCTGGGTAAGTTTAACCACAAAGACTATTGATTTTATTTTTATTTATGCTCAAAGTGGTCACTTCACTCTCAGTAAAAGGATGGTCTAACAATGCAAACAGTTATCTACACATCCCAAAATTCTGAAAATAGGAAAGACGACAAACAGGGGAGCTGAGTGTGGCTTGGGAGGTTCAAAAGCTAGAATCAGCCTTTGAAAATGGCCGGAATCTCCTCTGATCACTTTTACTCGGGTAAAAAAAATATACCTCAATCATTTTGTTAAAAATTGTCAGCATTTAACTGTTTGTGTGGAGCTTCCATCTGCAAGCTAAAGTATGAAGAAAGATATGTATGTGTATGTTATTGTAATTACTCAGGGCTCCCACATACTAAAGCAGACTGTGCATAATGTGAGCAGCACTGAGTTTGTGCAGATGTTTGTTCTTCTCTTGCTCTCTGGTCAAGAATATCTATATACTTTTCTGTATCTAAGCTAGGATCATCATAATTGCCTAGAACTCTGCAAACTATAAGTTACAATGTAAATGTCTTGTAGAGACCAAAGATTTCTCACTGTAGATGTGTAAATGTGTATTTTCAGGAAGAAAGACTGCAAAAAAAAAAACCCACCAAAATGGAGATCAGTGACAGATTAAAGAAAGGGCTTAATTTAAAATATACAAAAGTAGGATAACTGTGAAATGTATGCTTTTATATTTGGTCACGACTTGAATGGTTAGAAACTGAATCACAGTAAGCAGTATAAATAGTCCCTTTTGTCATCTATTTAGAATAATACCTCTTTTGTGTTGTTATAAGCAGATACTTAAAAAAGAATGTCGTATTGGATCCGGTCTATAACGCCATATCCTCTAATTTGGAGGAGACACAAGCCCACAGCATCACAAATCCTGCTACATACTTAACAAAGGATATAAGTTGCCTTTTCATATCACCTTTTTCTCCAGACCCATTCAGACTATATATTGCAAAATGAAGCTTTTGGTACTCGGTTTCCTACTTGGCCGGACTTATATGCTGGCATAGCAAAACACATAGCACGCAAGTCTAAATGTGAAGTATGTACGCACCCAGTTTTGTATGGTTGTGTTTATTGACATCACAAGAAGGCATGATAGTTTTTTTCTGTTAAGTTTTGTCTTGCTTAAAAGACTTTTGGAAATTTGCAAGCAAATGCATTCAAACTACTACTGAACTTTATGCAAAATCTAAAAAGGGAATGTTGCTTAAACAAAAAAAAAAATGCTTCAATTGGAAACAATTAGTCCAATTAACTTGATCCAGCTTTTTTATTTTATGTTTTTAACATAATAAATCAATTCTTATATTTAAGGAAGGTAAACCTAATTCTTGTTACCAAGGGAAGCAAGTTGTTGCTTTCTCATTTAAAGTGCAGATTGACCAGCTAACTAACTGATACACTGATAACTGTACATTATGGTGAAAGTAAAGAAGGGATTATACAGACACTTTTTTGTAATTTAGTTTCAGAGTCTTGTTTAGTTGTTGCTGGGTTAATAAAACAATCTTTATACCTCAGAAACTAAAAATGGGTTTAATGAACTTTTCACCTAATCATCCTTTAATGTTGTTATCATACCCTAATTATCAAACGTTTTGTTGACTATAATCGCATTAGCAAATGTTACTTAAAATAAAATAAGTATCTGCTTGATAACAAAGTTAAAGATGAATTCTTCTAAACCTGTAACCTTGCATTAGTAAATAGTCTTTGGCTCAATAATGTTAAAGGGACTGCCTGGATAAGATTATTTTCATGATTTGGTGTGTCCATTTTCTGAAAAATATATGTTTTGTACTCAGAAGGTGTTTTTTGTTTTTTTTTGTCCATTTAAAGGCAAAGAAAGTAAAAGGGAAAACACCACCAGTGATTTTGTGGAAGTACCTATATGCTACTGTGGGACAATAAATGGATTTCCTATTCTATTCTACTCTATACTGTAAATATATGAAGGCTTTATTTGAAGGCTTTTAATGCACATTTACCAGGGGTTTCTATAGGGTTAGCACTGTATTACCTTATCTAATGATATATCATACTCTCTCAACTTTTATTACATTTCTTATCCATGTGTATTACTGTTAAAGGATATTAGTTTCTGGAAAAATATAAAACTTTCCTCCTAGAGAGTGAGAGAGATCCATACAAGTACATAAAATGGCTCATACAGGTTTTAGAGAACCAGAATATTTTTTCTCCTTAAATCCTCCGCATTCCAGAGCTATACTGGTAGGGTTTGTATTTTAAAAGGAGCACCAAAATAACTTTCTTTTTATTTGGTTTTAAAAATAAAAAATATAGGGGTTAAAGGGGTAAGGAGGACGGTTGGACTGAGGGACTGAGCTAAATCGTTCACTTCTTATAGGAGGTTCAAGGAGAGAAAGGGCTTGTCAGGTATCTGGAAAAAATACACAACACACAAAAGGTGACTCTATGTTATGCACACATCATATGGTGCAAACATAGGGACAAACCTTGGTTCTCCTGGCATCCATCAGGTGCTGAGCATGAACAGAACGAACAGAAAAACAGATGTGTGGTGAAAACAGAACTTCAGAGCCTGATGCAACAGAAAAGGATGGTCAACAAAATGTAGAAAAATCTTGAATGAGAGCTGCTGGGTTTTCAACCGTGCAGTCAGCAAATTAACTTTACAACCAAATGTCTTTATTTAAAACATTATGCCATGTTAAAGCAAGAAAAAAGTGCAAAACATTATGCTTTTTAGATGTATTTGTTTTCATTCCATCTACCGTATGTATATCCATCTATATTATATATATATATATACAAATCAGTTTTATAATAGTATATTATTCATATTTTTCATAAAAAGCAAAAGTATCTGCCAGGAATAAAATTACTCTTGTACAAAGGTTTTCATATATTAAGTTGATTTACCTTTCTGGAAAGACATTGTAAAAATTATCTAGTAGGTTAAGGAGTTTAAAATAAACCATGAAAATAAAATTTATAATCTCAGGTTGATATCAATGTGTGATGACTGGTAGAAGCCCTAATAGTAGAGATTAGTAAAAGCAACAACTGAATGAAACAATCTTCCTTTTTCTGTGTCCCTAAAACAACAGCAAGTGGATTAACAGCAAATTAAATTGAAGCATACTTAAATCACAGTGTGATCAAGGGGTATAAATCTTACTTATTCTACAGGTAATAGGAGAATAAGCAGCAGGACATTTAAAAAAAGAATCATTGTTAAAGTCTGACCATTTTAAAATATTTGCCATGTGAGTGATTAACCACCAGGGGGTAGTGTTTGCATTAGCATGGACATCTGATGGATTTTCTGCTGACTGCTGCCATGACATGCTGTTTCAGTCAAACACCCCCTCTCTGAGTCATTGGCCTTTTGTAGAACGACAGTGACACAGCACGAAGATGCTTAAGAATCGTTTTTAACATAGTGCAGCTCCTGCTTCAACTCTCATCACAAAGATACATATGTGATCATAAAGTAAAGATTCCAACAGATAAATCCTTTAGAAAAATGAATAGAAAAAGATTATGAATTCCAAACATGAACCCAAAATTTAGAGCAAAAGTTTTGCAAAAGAATAAAAATGCAAGAACCCATTTTCATAAATCTATTTTTATCTAGTTTTTTATCTAGCTTTATACAAAGCAAGTCATGTTTATGTAGTCGAATTTGATGAAACGTTTGCACACCTTGAGAAGAAATATCAAATGCTTTCCTCTATTCTGAACTTTGTCTTTCTGATTTCTAACTCTCCCTTCTTTACTGATCAGTAAGCTGCTGTCTGGGAGCCCAAACTACAGGAAACAATTCAGTGAAACAATTTGCATAATTGACCTGTGACTTAAAATCACTAAACAACCATTCATCTTGTTCCTTCACATCATAGCTGACGTGTATCTGTTTGTGTGAGCTGGTTATGACTCAGCTTATACTGGTGTTTTGGTTACTATTTCTTATAAGAAGACGTGTCTTTCTTTTAACGAACACCGTGACAGTAAGAGACCAAAGTTTCCAAGCACTAAACAGAAATGTTGAGCTGTTCTGCTTCCTTATCTTACTGACACCTCGACCAGCCAGCTGTAACTGGCTGTCATAAATCTTGTGCTGCAGACTCAGAGAGTCTTTCTGAGGTTAGTTATACACACTGGCTTCTGCCATATTAAAGCATTCACAAAATGTTGTATCTTAGCTGATGCATTACTCTGTTTGGGGGGAAAACAACAGAAGGAATTATTATGCCTCTGTTTAGTTCTTCAGTAATGTCTCAAAATCAGATTGTCTAACAAACTGTCTTTTTGGAATAAATGTCAAAAGCTCAATTATCTCAAGTATCTGAAAGTGATAGTCCATAATCCCATCATTGCATTAGAGTGCCTGTAACCTTGTGCTGTATAAAGAAATGGGTGTTAAATAAAAAGTTTATTCTTTTCCAGGGTGTGCAAATAATATTAAACCCCTCGAAATGTTCCTCAATGTTTAAAATCAGAAACTTAGGATTTTTTTTTACATTAAATATTAGCAGACAAATACAGTTTCAGAGGAAAATTAAACTTGGTTTTCAAGATTTTTTGTGTAAGTATATAAAAATGTAAAATAAAATATAAAAATGCACACTAAGTCTTTGCATTTGTATCCAGTACCTTTTACTGTAAATAAAAGCCAGTGCCTTGAAAAATGATAAATATTAAATGTACCGTAATATACCTTAATTTCACATTCATTTTACCAGGACATGCTTCTTAGGCTTATAATCTCTTTTAGCAAGATTAAGTTGTAGGAAAGTTTAAAGCAGAGTTTTTATTTGTTGTCTACTATACAAATCTGCATTTTACGGATGAGATACAAGAAAACAAGCTTGCTTAGCATCAGGAATACAGTGTTTAGTGAGCAAAAATAGATGTTGGGCAATGGATTTTTGCCCTCGTGCTAAAGTACTCTTACCTTGCATGTTCAGCCTTAAATCCGAATTAAGATCTGTGGTAAGAATTGACAACTGATGCTCAGATATCACTCTAATTCTGAGTTTGACCTGTTGTGCAAAGAGAAATGGGTAAAAACATGCTAAAATGCATTTAGAGTGACATAACAAAGTATTGACTTTTGCTTTGTTTATCTAATATTCAACACATTTCAGAGTTGTAGGTGTAAAAAGAAAATCCATCTGTCAGCAGTCTTCTTATATACTGTTAATATGCTACTCCATAAAGGTCCATGAAATAAAATTCAAAAGGATGATCAAAGTTCTTGTTGTTGTTGCTATGTGACTAGAGGAATTTGAGAGGAATGGATTTTATTAGAAGGGGCTGTACAATACTGTAGCATTTAGTCTTTTCTTAAAAGATTAATGCTCTATCATATTATCTCCTGTAAGGAGTTTTATTACCTTATCTTGCCTTTATAGTAAATTGAAACATTTAATTTTTCATTTCCAGGTTGTCACAATACGATCTTCCCTACACTCAATCAAATATGAAAAAGTTAAATGACCCATCACATCCCAGCTACTTAATACAGCATCATTTTAAATATCTTAAACAAACAGGCCATTGCTAGATACATGCATAATAAAGGCTGGACTCCTTAATGCCTTAAAATATTATTTTGGTACTTAAGCAATTAGATGAAGGCCCCTGCTCCAGAATAAACCATCAGACCATCTGCCTTGTATATGTTACATTCTCTTACACTTTCTATGATAAGAATGTTTTTCTAAGACTAAATGAGCAGCTCCAGAGCTCTTTAGCTGTAGCATCCTGCTGTTTACGCCCTTCCTAATCTCTGAGTTAGTGTGTCATGATGGCGGACTCAGCAAATGTCTAAATGACTAAAATATCTTTATAGACTGGTATTATTCTCTTTGTTTTACTTGCATTTCATTCAGAAATGTGTTCTTATGATGCTGTTTACTGTGTGATTAGAAAACATTAGCAGCACTTGATAGAGCTTGGTTTGTGGGTTAGCATGAGAGCAACTGGTTCTACCAAGCAGCTACTTGACATGTGGGGTCACAAGGGAAATGTTGGAAAGTGTTTGCATGGGACAGCAACCACATAAATTGTTTGTGGTCTGCCCACCCATTAAAAGATCATACCAAGAAAAGACGTGTATCTTTTGAAAGTAAATTATTGGTCCAAAAACAATAAACAAATAGGCATCAGCCAGTAATTAGGTTTAGGTATACCACGGCATGAAAAATTCACTGTTTCAAAACCACTAGCTTCACTGCAAAAAATTGAAAGCTAAATAAGTCATTTTTTCTTGCAATAAGTGCTTTTTGTCTTGAATTCAGGAGGTAATTGAAACACTTTGCCAATGGAACAAGACAATTTACATTTAAAATAAGAAAACACAATTACATTGTCTTATTTCAAGTGCATATTATGTATTTATTTTATTTTAAAACTAAAAATACTCATTCCATTGGCAAATTATCTAATTAACCTACTCAAAGTAATGGTAAATACACTTAAGACATTTGTTCTTATTTTTAGATGGTTTTTGCAGTGTTTCCATCATACATTCCTGCAGTATAGGCATTAGTTTGATATATAAATGTTGTGAGAGATGTTGCTCGGGCTGTAACAAGCTACAAAAATCATGATTTTGTATATGATTATTTTCAAATGAAATACAAAAAAATACTAAATCCCTCTTAGCTATAACAGGCACCTTGCTCTTTGTAAATAACTTTCAAGGAGCTGCACGGACTCAAAAATTTTAGGTTGTAAAAGAGTCCTGCTTATCATATGCATCTGATTTCATTAGCTTAGTCTAAAGAATAGTTAGGTAAACATACAGCACTGATATGCAGCAAGTTTTTTCAGTTACATTATTCACAATGTGAGTCAATAAATAGCTGTGAATTCACCTCTAGCAGCTGGCTAGCTCAAGTGGTAAGTCACCTGCAAACAGGAAGCCTGGGTTTATATCCCAGCTGGCAGGAATGAGCTGGGGAGTGGCGGCCTAGTGGTTGGAGGATTGCGCTTGGAATCCTGAGGGTCTGAGTTCAAAGCCCCACTCTGGGTCCCTGAGCAAAACCCTTAACCCCACACTGCTCCCCAGGCACCCCACAGTGGCAGCCCACTGCTCCCCAAGGGGATGGGTTAAATGCAGAGAGTTAATTTCATTGCTCTGTACATGTGACAGTGTAATGACAATAAAATGCTGAGAAAAAAAAGAGGTACACAGATTTGTTTTATGAAAGGGCTGCATACTCCATCAGTACAATAACCTCTAATAAAATCTTAATTCTTACATACCATATCACTTAAAAAGACACAAATATAGCAACTGTTAATATTTCTGTGGGATACATCATGCTTTACTTTAAGTTTGTATGTATGTGCAGAGGGATTGGGGTGAGCTCTATTTTTGTTAAAACCGTTGATTAGGGCTGACTGGACAGCTGAGTAGCAGCGGCTATGACTCAGTCAGATATGCTATGCACTAGCTCACACACTCGCCTCCAGCAGCTCCCATGCAGCTTTGGCATGACAACAAAAATTTTGCTCAATTCAACAAAAACAAGATCCGCTGCCCCCCAAAATAAAGATCCAACACACCAAACAGTCACATGCTAATCACTACCACTAGCCATCACCTTCACTGTTTAGATGCAGGCTCTGCAGGCTATGGCTATTATTTCTCCAGAAAATAAAAACCCAACTTCAAAGGTCTGAATGAATGAATGATATATTAGAACATTTTAAAAATGTTGTATATATATATATATATATATATATATATATATATATATATACTCTGATCCTAAATTTTCACACGATAAATGATGCATGACATTTTGCTAAAACTAACAGTGGCCTAAGGCACCTGATGCAATTGTAAAAAGTTGTGCTAGAGGGCAGACACAATGACTGGCCTGAAATTCCTGCATTATTTATGAAGCAATTTGCTCATCAGTCAGTAAGCCCAGTGGGTGTGACCAAAGCATTCGACCTTAAATATACACTTATGCACGCTTCAGTGCCCAGAAATCAAGTCGGAATAGACCAATTATAGCAACAAACATCTGCCTTTTATTAACTGTCATACCATGTTAATGAAACCTTTCAGAGGAGGAATATAAATATCACAACATAGGACGAGAGCAAACACTGAGTCCTCCCTGCGATTAAACAATGATGCCATGGAAACCCTCTGTGAACACCTTTCAGAATCTGCAGGACACTTTCAGCTCCTAAACTCTATGAGTCCTAACTAAAAATGTCAGAACTGGGATTTATCAGCTCTTCATGTATAAATGTGAAAAGAAGAATAGCTTTGTTCCTGTCAGTGACACAGCCTGTTCAGCCTCAACATTCATCCAGATGTGTGCAAAGGATGGATTTAAAGAGAATAACGAAAAGACCTTTGGTGATGAATAGGTGACTGCTAGCTAAGTGTACTGTTCCGAGACATCCACACCCAGACTATACAGTAAAATCCTTGCACAAGTATTTATACCCCCTGAACGTTCCGTTACTTTTCACATTTCAAGCATAAAGAAAAATGAGTTTATTTGGATTTTTTGAAAGATCAACATAAAGTAGCACAAAATTGTGATTTGGAGGTTAAAATAATGCATGTTTATTACCTCTCTTACAAATTGGAAAGGTTAACGTGCCACAAGTTGTTACCACAATTATATTTAGAAGTACTTTGTGGTACATCTCTACTAGTTTTGCACTGATAGAGGCTATATTGTTTACAATGATTCCCTAAAAAAGTACTTAAGAGCCACATTAGAATGGATAGGCTCTACGGGATGGGATGTGTGAACATCAGACTTCTTACCTCAAATGTTTGAGGCAAGAAAGTAAGCATGGACTTTCACTGGACGGTTCTAGTACATGATGCTCATTGGACTTGAACATTTCTTATCTTGTCTAATAACTTCATCATAAAACTTGATAACAAGGTCATTACAAGCAGGGACTAATGAAAGAAAATTGTGTGTGTTGTTTGATTCGAAGCTCTCCTTTGAGTCTCGTATAAAAGAGGTAACCAGAGCTAAGAAACATTGCCAACTTTAGAGAAGCTTTATCATTTGAAAATGCTGAAGTTTTTATCCATGCATTTGTGTCATCCTTAGTTATTTTAATGTCCTGCTTTCTGTATTAAATGACCTAAAACAGTGCAGCCTACATTTAAGCTAAAACTGGGAAATATGAGCACATCACTTAAATCTTGTTTTAAGACATCCTGTTTTTTAAGTGCTGCTACAGCAGCAAATCCCTGCTATTTTTTCAAACACTGATGAGAGGATCAACACATTTCATTGTGAAGAATGTTCAGACAGCATTATGCTGGGACTTATAATTTATTTTTAGTACATGAAAACAAAAGGATAGAAAACAAACTGCCCTGCAAGATGAGCTTATCCAAACTTAGCCTTTAAACAGTTACAGAAATTGTTCAGGATAGTGGTCATAGTGATGATTTATTCAGATCTACACAATCTCTGTAAGTTGTGCATTTCTCTTTCCAGCTTGAGGATCCCACTGAACCAAAGGCTGAACATTCTGCCTGCACCATTTAATATCTGACTACTAACAATCCTATGAGGGAGTCTGACATGGAATGAAACTGATGTCCAGCTTCTTTTACATTTGGACATTTACCGGTAATCAAAATAGACAAAAAGACAACAAATCCTACAGTAAATTTTAATGCTTATATGAACCAAAGTAAACACTGAGAGATGATGTAAGTCAGACCATTTGAAGAGAAAGTAATGGAAGAACAGATAGGGAGTGTTTGAGCGTCCTTGACATTTGTCTCTGGGCCCTGTGCCTATTCCTGTCAGTAAGTGATTTAACTGGGCCATGACTACACCCCCACACTGAGGTAAGCAAAAAAAAAAAAAAAAAAAAAAAAAAAAAAAAGCTTTTGACATCTCTGCCCCTGGGGCCAATCTGCTGAACCAGTGAAAATAAACAAAAATTAAGCAATAATGGGGCCAGACTGCATTGGGTTCAATACACCTGTCGGCATCGTCATCGTACTTTCCTCTGAGCCATAAATAACTGAAGGCTCAGATTTCAGCTCTGTTGGTTTTTAGTTGAAGTGCTTGTACTTTCTAAGATGATGCAAAATCATCGGCAGATGAAAAAATGTTTGGGTGCATAAAACGCCTTTCCAGAAAGGTTTTATTAATCTGTAAAAAACAGATCTGACTGCATTCATTTTATAAAATTTCCTGGTGATGATGGCTGTGTCTTTTTGCAAGAACAAAAAAAAAAAACAGGTAGGTGAAAGCAGAAATCAGAACAGAGCTATATGGGTGGGGGGAAAAAGAAGCAAATGAAATTCACTGCAGTAATAACTGGATTATGACAGCTGAGAGAGGAGTGCTCTCACCTGATTCTCCTCATGAGTGACCCTCATCTGCTCCTTCAGGATGGACGTGCGTGCCGCCTCCTCTTTCCTCATGATCCTTTCCTTCTTTAGCTCGGGGCTCCAGAAGCTCTTAATGCTGTTGGTGGAAGATCCCAACTTACTCTCCTTCAGGTCGAGCTCTCGCCGCAGCATCTCATTTTCCCTCTGCATCTCCCTGAGCTGGGCCTGCATCTCCAGCAGCTCGCCACCACTGCCCCGCATGGCCTGCCTGAGCAGAGCCGAGGGCACCCCCTGGTGGTGGTGGGCGTGCAGCATGGAGAGGGAGCCCAGGTCACTGTAAGACAGAAGGTCAGCATGAGGCAGCCCCACTGAAGCAATATTGGGGCTGCTGCCCATGGCTGTGACGCGGCCCCCATACATGGCCCGGCTGGTGGCGCGACCCAGAGTCATGGTGCCTTTTGGGTAGGTGGCAGTGGAGCCCACGCCCTCGTGGTCACTCAGGTACATGGGCCCTGAAGTAGCATAGGCAGCGTTGAGTGATTGGATGTTCTCCATGGAGAGGGTCTTGCCCCCCGCACCACCCCCGCTCCCGCTGTGTGCCCTTCGATGGCCCAGTCTGGGAGACCTTGGAAGGCGCGGGGACCGTACAGGACTGCTCTCTACATGACCTACAGCTCTGGCACTGCCGTACATGTCCCGTGATTCAGAGGAGTAGCCACCAGAGGGTCCTTTAACAGGGGCGTGCTCAAATGAGATTGCTCTGACTTTTTTCAGCCAAACATGGATGACTTATTTCATGTCTGAATCGTGGCTTAGGACACATCAAAGTCAGATCTGAGGAAACAGGGGATAAGCATCTGTCAGACAAATGAAATTTGATAAACAAAACATTCCACTAAAAAAACAAACAAACTTAAATTCATATAGGCAAGCTGCTCTAATTACACCTGCTGCTCTCATTTTAATTTGCCTGCAGGAATTTCCTAAAATCAACACCAAAGTCAGGCTAATACTTATTTATTTACTTTTATTGTATAAAAGTATGATGATATACAGAAAGTTAAACAAGTACTAAAGAGCTCGGTAGTTTAAAACACCTATAATGAATCTAATTGTTAATCATCTCTGTTCTAAGGGAGTTTTCACATGGAAATTTGAGGTTTTCATGTTAAAATATGTGTATTTTGCTTCAGTTTAAACCTGCAGGAAAATCAACATTGTTAGCGGCTTGGTATTTTCATGTTGGCTCATTGTTCAAATCAGAAATCCCCACATGAACTTGCTCTCCACAAAGCACCAGTCTGGTCTTCCTTCTGCATTGACACCAATACTGTAAGGAAATATTAGCTTCACCCTGTCTCTATTCAACCTAAAGGGAAGATTCCAACAATCATGGACTCTCCTGCAGGCAGTCACTACGTGTTTCTGCTTATGTAACTTTTTTACCTATTTTGACTATGAAACAATGGTAAATGAACCAGGGAAAACTGATAATGTTGCTTACATTAAATCCACACGATTGTGGAGACAAACAAGTCAAATTCTCAGGCATACCTTTATGGAATAAAAAGGGTGGGGGGTGGAGCTCTATTTATTGATTAGATTAATTTAAAGACAATTTCAGAAGGACTGCATAAATAAAATACGAGTTAATGAGTTCCTTAAAGTACGGATATCCAGTAATATCCCAATAAGCAGTCTCACGCATAATTTTAAGCTGATCACTGCTTTCTGTGAGGTGTTGTTCGTCAATTTACTTTGTTAATTAGATTTATGTATTATTGTTAATTATATTTATTTTATATTTATATGAGTCAATCCTTGAAATAAGAAAGACGAGGAATGTGCCTTGAAAGAAAATCAGATGTCTGTATATTTATATTTCTGCAAATAATTACAGCAAAAATAGTTTCTTACACAGAAAGGTTGCAAATTTATTTTATGAGCATTTACTTAAAATATTTTTTTTTAAATAATAAAACAACACAACAGGGTGGAAAGGGTTGGATGAGGACAAAAGCTATGTTCCTACCATGCACTCTGCAGATGTGAGGAAGGATAGTAATAAGGGAAAGCTTTACAGAATACCTTAAACATCAAACATGAAAGGTTTGATAACTACTGCTAGAGCTTTACCTTTACCGGTGTACCTTATCCAGTCGAGACTATGACATTTTTGGCAACAGACACAGCAGGTAGGCTTGACTTGAAACAAAGGATTAACATTAGTAAAAACATCCCCGACCCGCTGTTAAGGCAGGAGAGAAAAACTGTGGTGCTGTGGGCTAGTTTTTATAGTAAATACACTAAAAGTCTTGTTATAGAATCTCTGGTCATTAGAAATGGGAACTTTATGAGAAAGCTAAAATTGGATCATTTTCTACAGAATAAGAGTCATAATAATAATAACATTAACAACATTAAACAGCAAGGAATTGGTCCAAGACCAAACTCTGGAATAAGGTGAAGAGAAGAGAACATAAGAGAGAACCTGAAGTGTTTTTAGAACCATGCATAGTCATGCCTAGGCCCTCTATGAGTGTTCAAAAAATGTTAGTGTTTTGCTTTATCCTATTGACCAAAAAAAGAATAAAGTAATAGAAATTCCCCCATCGAAAAACAATGTGCACAAATTTCAGTATAAGATTATGCTGCTGTGATAAAAACATTTATTTGAGGTCCTTAAAAAGTTAATTTTGCATACAAATACAAGCAAGAAAACAGGGCAACAAAATCAAGTAAAGATCAATAGTCCTGACAGATACACTTATTGCACATGAAATACAGCAACGTTTCTGTAGCACTGTCTTTTCTCATAAACTAACTGGTAAATATTTACTGGCAGGCTTCAACTCAGCTCACAGTATGATTGTAAGGAGGACTGGACTAAATGTGTCTCTGACCTCAGACTCATATGTTGCTGTTATACACCAAAAAAATCACAAGCCACCAAATTTATTTGGAATAGGTTTTTAATGATAATTGGCCTAGCAGCTAAGCTAGGACTTTAGTGGGCTTTTTATGTCTAAAAGAGTTTAAAAAAGCAGTTTATATATGATAAAGGTATTCATGCTACGAAAATACATAAATCCTAAAGCAGAATAAATTTTTAATGATTGAATAATGGCTGGACCATTTAATGCCGTTCTCTGGTTTTAATTTATCTCCAGATCTATCACAGGCTGTGATTTATTTAAACTGAAAACCTCATTATTTCACTGTGGTCGATATTTTTAGGGTGAAAACAGAGAACTATTTAACACAACCGTCAAAGAAAAAGACGCTATCTAGGGATGTTCATTTCCTAAACTGCCTGACAATGAAAAATACAAATATATCAATTGGGTTAAAAAGGAGGTTAATGAAGCACATGTAGATTTTTTCATCTATCGCTCATCATGGTGACACCTCTTAGATTTGGTTGCCATGGTGTTTCTGCCTGGGCTAACACCTATCATCTCGCATAAAATGAATTTTAAAAAAAATATGACAAAATACAGCAACATGGTGTGAGTGAATTATAGTTTCTTGGTCATTTAGTTTCAATTTAATGGACAGATGAACAGAAGGTTGAAATTCTCAAAATGCAGATGACAGCATCACTGAGCTGTACCCACGAATGTGTCATGTGAAGGGAATAACAACAAAGTTACAGCCATCTGTAAGGCAAATAACATTGCGAGAGCAGAGACATGGAAATGCTGAAGCGTAGGTCAGCTGAACAGTAAGCGTAGGAACCACGAGACCAAAGAATGGTCCAAAAACTGGGATAAAACAACTTTATCTGGATAAGTTCTGATCTGTGATATGTCTTTGAAAATCTGAATATTTTTTATCTATTAAATGCTTCAAAACGACAATTGATTATTTCTGTAAATATTCCAAAATCAACTATGACTTATTTCTTATTTCAAATATACAAATAAAAACAATAGATACTGTACACGCAAGTAAACAATCTTGTAATTCCTTTGCTTTTTGGTGTATTATTCAAAAACAAAAACTATGAATATAAATGAAAAATGTTTTATTGCTTTAAAAATATATGTTAGAATCAGCAGATCAGAGTTTTAAGAAAAAGCAGCCAGACTAGAGCGGGGAGGTCTGGTGGAGAAATATTTCACTCTGAAAAGTAGTAAAAACAGTAAAACCAGCATCCAGTTTAAGATCAGTCAGCTGGTGGCTCACTTCAGAAGCTTAACAGTGTTCGGCTTTTGATCCACTAGTAGTGTAGATAAATCAGTTCACATTTCAAGCAGCATGTCGGGTGTGTTTGTCAGCTTTTGTCTGCCTCACCGGTGATGAATCATTGATTCAGGGAGTCAGGCCACCGTTTTTGCCTTTAGAATTTCCTTTCCTTACCACAACAAATATAAACTACAGACCTCATATTAAGCCAACAGTTTTAAAGCTTTCCTGCTTTGGTGTTAAACAAGTTGTGTAAAATTATTCTATCCGGTAATGTGGGACATGCCTACAACACTTTTAACTGTGTCACACAGAGACACATGTAAAGAACCTTGCAATAAATGTGTTTGTTTGCAGTAACATGATCTGAAAATTACAGATTTATCTGTGTTGAGGTTCATTGAAGGATATCTTCACCTCATGTACCATGTCTTTTTATTTCTGAGGGTTTCCTGGGGCAACTTGCACCCAAAGCTCATATGAGATGTGCCCACATATTAATCATTTAAGTAATTAGGCTATTACTCTAAGGCATTTCTGTGGATTTTGTAAGGAGTAAGAAATAATTGGCAAAATTATTATTATTATTATTTAAGTAAACCTAATACTGATCTTTTGTGCTTCAACTAGCGCATATCTTACTTTAAGAAATCAAATATTTATTCCAAATTTAGCTCTATTTTGGTAGAATTACAGCTTTAGTTTGAATGCACATTAAATTTGGCTTTGTATTGTTTTTAATATTGATTTTCTTTATTGTTTATACCAGATATTTTAATTAAATGCAGATTTTAATGAATTAATGTTTATTTTCCTGCCATCTTTATTCTATATAAAGTATTTTTTGTGTCTTTGGTTCAATATGAAATGGATTCTATAATAGAAAATTTTATCTGATTGATTGCTATCTCCCCTAAATGAGCACAATGAAAACATTCAGCAGAAATAGGTAGCTGTTTTCATTATGTAGCTAGATAACATCTAATGGGTTTTATGGACATTTCTAGAGTCCATGATCCTCAGGGGTTTTTTAGCGGTACACTTTGAAGATCTCCTTTTAAATTGGCTACTATGCTTTTCACCGTTTTAGGGCTGAAACAATTCATCAGATTAATAGTGATTCATCGATTATTGAAATAGTCGTCAACTAATTTAATAATCGAGTAATCGTTAAATGGAGTATTGATACTGTAAAACATGTCTTTAGCTCACAGAGTAACCCACTTAGAGCAGTAATTATATCAAAATTGTAAAAAATATATAAACATTGTGCATTTAGGATAAAAATAAAATGTTTTCATCTCTCAATATGCTCTATCTAGAACCCCTTAAGTGGAAAAGTTTTAGTTTCAACTGGTTTGATATAGTAAAATATCTGTGCAGAACCTTTGGCTATCCGATTATTAATCGATTAATAGAAAAAACAATCAAGAGCTTAATCAATTTGCAAAATAATCATTAGTTGAAGCCCTATACTGTACATTGTAGCATTTTTTTCCCCCTATGTTAAAGATAGCAGCTGTAACTCCATGTCGTATCCCTTTTTGTTATGTATTTCTTCCACATTGAATAAATAAACTCAGGTAAAAGCTTTTAATTCGGTCACGTTTTTATGAGATGAATGACAGTATTTTTACCAAAATAGATAAAAAAGCTAAACTATTGACATTTACTCCTGCTTGCATTTAGTAGAGAGGGTGCTGTAGTTTACAAGTATCCTTTTTGTTCTTTTCATAAAATGACTTTATTATGATGAACTTTACTGACATAAAAGCTTCATTTTACAAACCTAAATGAATGTAAAACTTCTAATGTATTATCTCTGTATAAATGTATGAATTGGAATAGTTGTTTTTGTATTATTACTGTTTCTCAATGGTACTTTTATTTCCCTATCAATGGTAAAAGGATCATTATAGAAATAATCTACTAATGATGAATACTGCAGGGCTAAACAGAGAAGCTGGCACCCATTGGAAAGTAATGTTTTACTACTCTGATGTACTGCTTCGATTTCTAACTGGCAGCAATTTGCCTGTTACTTTCCCCTTTTAGCAAACATTATATGTAAAATTGTTTGCTATTTGCAAAATGTAACTGTATAAAATAACATGACTATTTTTTACAGGCAGGCTATCAAATGCAATTATACTTTTCACAGTGAAAACTGACAACAGTTTGATCATAGAAGCATTAGTAGCAGTGAGCAGTGCCTTCCATTTAAATCAGATTCTGAATATTTACTAATAAGCAAAAAAAAAACTATTAAAGATGACTCTATGAATACAACTTTGAAAATCATAGTAAAAAAGAAATTGTAAAAAAAAATTCTGAAACCAACTACATGACTAACAACAGGGCCCTATTCAACCTGTAAAGGACATGCTCAATACTGTGATACCCTGGAGCTCTTGAGCCCCATCAACCATTTCTTTATCCACTTGTCCAGTTTAACAAAACACCCCTGAATCTGCACTGCTTTGATTTTTGACCCGGATCACAATGTTCTTTTATTTCTTTCTTTTGCACCCTATTTCTCTGCATTGGAGGGGTGGGAGAGCTGCAGCACAACTGATCAACAAATGCTTTAGTGAAGGCAATTTGGAAATGATCTCTGGCAGAGCAGTGGAGCGGAAACACCAGAGAGGATACAGATGTCCTGAAACAAAGATTTCTCTACAGGCAGAAAAATCCAGCTGTTTAATGAGGCAGACATGACATTTCAAAAACCATCTTATAAAAAAAAAAACACCATATATGGAGTTATTGGAGAGCGAGTAAAGGTAAGGACATCTTGCTTAGTGAATATATTTCTATTAAAGAGAAAATGCAAGCCATCCAGCCTCCTCATCAAGCATTCTACTACAGAGCTTGACGCCCCCATGCTTCCCACAGACTACTAAGCTCAGATATTAATATCTCCAAATTGGCCCATCCATTCTGCTAAAAGATTGAACCCCTATAAATTGCAATATGTTATCAGCTTGGATGTGCAGACTGACTTATAAAGATTAGGAGGGCAGGACCGAGCAGTTGACAGCTCACCGGGCCTACATGTCCGTCTGAAATGAGACTATAACCTGCCGTGTGGAGGAAAACCTTTATTTCTAAGGAATAAACCGCCTCCTGTCAGCGTCTCCAACATCGTAAGGAATAATCTGGATTATAATGTTCTGTTTCTATTAATCGAGCAGGGAATGATTTGGTTAAATGGACACAGCCTATGCCTTTCTTTTTTTTTTTTTTTTTTTTTACCCCGGCGTGTCGCTCAGAAAAAACGCGCACAAAAAAAACGCCAGAGGATACCTCACGTATTTCAGTCTCCATTCCTTCCTAGGTCATATATATAATAATTTTAGCGGTAACATTACCAACATGTACAGATATACCTTTTTAGATGTCAATTGGCCTCCTTGGTCATTCTAGATGGCATCTCGTCGCCTCCATTCAAGCCCAGCAGCCTCTTCCAGCATCCAGCGCTGTCATTGGACAGCGGGCTGCCTTTCTCTCCTCCTCCGCAGCATCAGCGTGATCAGTGGCAGCTGGCAGGAGGGGATGGGCGGATCACATGCAGGGTGGGGGAGAAGATGGAGAGAGAGAGAGAGAGAGAGAGAGCAGTGGCGATTCTAGACCAAATGTTCCAGGGGCGCCAGGAGTCAGAGGCGGAGCAAGATGGGGGGCCAGTGGTGGCCATGGCCACCATTAGCCAATCACTGGCCACCCCTGTGGCCACTGTCAACAGTAATACTCTCAAGTGGAATATTCAAAACATTTAAAATTTTAACATTAAAATACTAACATTAATTATGATAAGTACAGAATTCAATTAATTTCTTTCCATAACTAGATTTTGTGTTTCATGGGATGTGTCATCCGTGTGATGTGTCTCTGCAAGTCATCTAGGAGTCTTCAGTGAAATCATATAAATAACTATTTTAATAAAAACGTATAAAATAATCGATTTATGTAGATATTAGTATTTGTAAATACCATTTTTATCCAGAATGATTGTTGATAAAAGTAGGTAAGTAAAGACAATGGAAAAGATGTTCGCCCCGGAACTCAAACCTTTCTTTCCTGAGTTAATATACCACTATTACATGTGCGGAAAGGAATAGGAAGAAGTAAAACTTATGTACTCCTACCCCTTTAATTTTTGTATTTCTTCAATTTACAATATTTATAATTATATTGCTATATATATCCATATATATATATATACACACACCTACCTACACATACATACATAAATGTTTATACACATATACCTTCATACATATATACAAATAAACAAAACAAAAAAACACAAACAAAACTTTCTACAATGCTTCTCTATACCTTCTGAAAATAATTTCTTTGTACATTTTTTGAAAAGGAATATGTTTGGGCATTGCTTTAGGTTCTCATTTAGTTTGTTCCACAATTTAACTCCACGAATTATATGGTAAATAGTGCATCGTTAAGCATTCTCTCCTGTTGTATTTGTAGCTAACTCAATGCTGCAACATATTTGTTTTTTAGAAAATCACCATTTAAACCTGTTGTTTTTAAAATGAACGTTAATGTTTGATTTTATCAGATGATAGCTAGCAGTCAGTCAAAGATAGCAGCCAGTGGGGCGCTGTGCAGCTGTGTTCTGACGCAGAAAGTTTACTCATTCGATCTGTAGTCTATGCCAGTGAGTGCATGATTTACTGGAACCAGGAGATTACACTTTAACTGTCCTGCCTAAGTAGCAGGTCAGGATAATCTGTGGATCAACCATGTCCCTCTTCTTTACCACGACAAAAGCACTTGAGCACAATGTGCTGGTAATTTCCACTTTACAAGTGAAGAGGTTTTACAGTCGCTATACTTCAATTTGATTGTCATAAACAAGTGTTTACTAAGGATTAATGAGTCATGAATTCATTTAGGAAATGTATTCATTCTAATAAAATCAGTATGATTTAACCCATATTTGTACAGTATTTATATCAAGGGTGAGATTTCATTGTGAAATCTGATTACCATATTTGTGATTGGTGAGTACACCTCTGTTTCCTATTCTTAAATGTGATACATATAAATGATAATTTAGCTTACGTAAGAAGTTTTTCATCTCGGCTTGGTTTAGCATTGTCTAAAAAGGCCCTAGTTTTAATGATAACGATAATAGTGATGATTATGTTTTAAACAGCATCAAGATTTTTTAATGTTACAAATTGAAATGGAAGAGAAACCAGAGAACACAGAAGAAAACAAATATAGTTACATTACAAGAGCAAGCTTAACTGTTTTGATCTACTTAAGTCACTGCTAGAGGGTATGAGGCTTTTGTCTGCTACCCGGTAATCTTTACATGAAGAAGGAGTCTGACAGACACAACCCTGGGCCCTAAATTCTTTCCTGCATCCACCCTCAGTCCCTGATGAGAGCAAATAGCACAATAAAACATTTATAGCTGTATGAAAAATGATCATGAGTTAAATTTTACATATGTTCAAAGTCTAAAAGATCAACACTGTAAGAAATACATCGGGCCAAAAAAATGTATAAAATTTCATACATAACATGAAATTATTTTTTTCTACAAACAACTTTGTTAGAGAAGCATTTACTTATAAAGTATTTGAGATTAAAGCCTTTCATTATTGACAGAATAGATGTATATGTTTAACAAAACAGCAAAAATCGACAGATATGGAACAAAACTTCATAAGGAGGGAGCAAATAATAGAGTGGGTCTTAACAATGTGCAAATTATTTTTAACTGTCAGCTTATGTCTTTAAGGATCACAATCCTGTCACCATGTTGAACTGTTATTGTTTCTGTTTTTATTTGATGCATTGTTTTTGTGTAAACCTCACAAATCTTTATATGAAAAAAGAGGAGTTACTGTACTTTGTATTGTAGAAACTTTTTTTTTATAATTATTTGTCATGTCTCCTTTCAGAGACATTTTATGTGCTGTATTTAGTACTTCCTATTTGATTTATTTAGGTCTTTTAAAAGAAATGAATGAGGAAGAAGATCTTTTATCATTTTCTCATCTCTCTTCAAATTTAAGTTTAAGCTGAATGATGCAAGTAAGACAATTCTTACAAATATTCCTATTTATTTTATAGGTTTTATTTTTGGCAAATAAGATTTCCTATAATTCATGCTGCATTAAGAAGACTGAGTGCTAAATTTTTGCTATTATTTCATATTTTCTTCTATTTTTTTCTTTCTACAGGTTTGTTTATTTTAACTTTAACAGGACACATGTTCCAATAAGAACTGAAAAAGTTTGCAGGACTGTCAACAGTTTTGAGAGCCACTGTATTAAGGTATAATGTAATGCTGAAAGCTGAAAAACAAAGGAAAGATCTTCCTCCTATCCAATAATAATAATATCGTTTCTTATACTAGAAAATACAGTGTGAACAACAACAAAAAATCCTGAACACAAGAATACTGTCATTTTAGATATTGAATTCAAAATACAGGCAGAAGGTATGAGGCCTTAACGTTTGAAATCTGAAAGTGGTTATCAATATTTAAAAATGAAACAACGGAAAAACTTTTTTTTATCTGTTAAAGTTCTTGCATGTGATATTTACAATAGCCTGAGGGTATGATAACTGCCGGCATATCCTCAAAACAACTTTGAGACATGAATTCCTTTAGTATAATAAATCTGTCTGACCACATGACATCACAGCTGCCATCATGAGGTGAATGCGTCCTCCACTGATGTATGAAGAGACAGTTGAGTGCTCTTTATCTATGCAGAACAACCCTCCTGCCTGTCGCTACGGCTGTGATCCTCCTTCTTCCTTCAGGCCAAATAAAATTATAGGTACTTTGTGCCATTTGATAACAATGACTGTAAATGTAGCTGAAATGGCCTGAAGGTGAAACATCAGCATTTTTGAACACACAAACACACCAATTCTCTACTTTTGCATGTCTTCTTTAATGTGGACAAGCAGTGAATAAGAGAAGGGAGTGCAGCACAATGTTTTGACCGAGAAGCTCTGTGATCTTGACTTTCTCTTGACTTTCAATTACGGTATCTTATTTACATGAAGAACACAAGTGGTCCTATTAGGATGTGTTGGCTTTGTATCGCACCAAATGGTCTGTCTACTTGACACAAACAAGGTTTCCCTTTCTGCACTGCACAATTCCACCAATATACAACTATGTACAAAGTACAGGATGCACCATTTAAAAACCTGTGTTTTTTTGTTGTTGTTGTTTGTTTTTTGTTTCTGGAGGGGGGGTGATGGTCAGACAGTGATGGTGGCGTTTCATGATCTCTATTGTTAAAGCTCAATCTTAAATCCTTAATCCAGTTAAACAAGTTTACACAGTTTAAATATTTGCCAATTTCATTTTTCTTTGCATATTGCATTTTGCTTCGAAAATCAAACCTTTATAAAAAAGGTGAAACCCCAGTGTAACCCCTACATGGTGAGCTGTTGATGTTATTTACTCAGATCTGTATGGCTTAAATGGCTCATGTGTGCAGATTAACAAACCTTTGTTGTCATCTTCTGTTTCTTGACTTCAGTACCATCAGATCACGGTACTGTATAATTGTAAACTTATTAAGATATATAATTGGGAAGCCTGCATTCATCTGTTTCTGGAAAGGCATGAATAGAACCTGTGTCACAGAAGAATTACTATTGTTAATATTATCAATGACCTTGGAGGAGAAGTTTGTGACTCACACAAAAGCGATGGGAAGTACATGAGCTAAGAGTTGAAGCTTACGTATATGCTAAGCATGCATTTAAAAATACACACATATATTTATGCACATATATTTGTCATTGTTGCACTCAAAGTACAGACAATGATAACTAGAAGAAACTGCTGAAATGACCTGGTTTTATCATGTGACCACAACTTGTTAAACCATTATTTCATGATGTAACTCCAGTCATTTTAAGAGTCCTCCTTACTTAAAAACACATAAGGAATAGATATGTATGAGTCATGCTAATAAGTCTTGCAAGTTGTTGAAAATCAATTTAAAAAGGCTTATCCATGCCACAGGATGCAGATCCATAACTCTGTCAGCTCTTAATCCTGCACGCTGTGTGGAGTGAATGATGAAGCTAAAGGGGCTGAAGGAGATATAACAGCTCAGATTTAACAGTGAACCTGTCACTTATTGTCCCAAGCTGCATATGGCACGGTCAATATGCTATATACTTCTTAATGAAAACAAATCATTCAACAGGCCTTTAAGGATTTTCTTTTAGCCCCAAGAAAACCAATAACCTTAAATTTCTACAATGAATCAGCATGAAGATAAACAACTAGATAGACTACACTCTGGAGAAAGGGTTTAATTAACACTGTATCCACTTTCTTAGAAAACATAACAGAAAGAAACTGCTATAAGCTGCTTTGACAATGTTATCATGTTTAAAAACACGATATGCCTGGGATGCTGCTTGATTAATGACTATTTAAGAACAACAGATATTACAGTTTTGTCATTGTCAATGAGATTGAGAAGCCTAATGTACAGCTTGGAAATAAAACAGCAGGTTTGCATAAGACTCAAACTGGGAGTAAAGAGATAAAAAATTGTATTGATTGACAAGGATCAGAGGTTTAAAGACAAACCAGAACAGAAAAAAAAAATAATGAAGGTTATTGAAACGTAAAGAGGGTGAATATTTTTATTTCTGAGCAAAAGAACTAGGAAAAATGCATACTAGAAATGTGATGGGGAATAAAGCGGAATCTTAATTCTCATAGTTAACCCTACTCTTTACGCTATATGCCAAGGTACTAAAGTCAAAAAAGGGTAATAGAAATGGGAAACACAACCTAGCCTACATTTTATAACTGTGATCGTATGTGCATGTATGTTCTACATTTGATTCTTTTCTTTTTTTTCAACTTTAATGTTTTACATTAGTTTATATAATAATATACATACATAAAAAAGAATAAATTATGACACATATATTATTAAAGAGAAAAAAATGTGTCCAAACGAACCTGGTTCTGTATTAAAATAAAACTGCTACATTGTTAAATCACCATTCACGTTAATTACAAACATTTTTTCCAGTTCAGTTTTATCAATCCCATGAGGCATGTTTCCAAATCTACATTTTAGGAAATTACTTAAGTAGACCCCATCTGACCACTGACAGGCCAGAAGTTACACAATATCCAACACATCGTGCCTTGATCTAAATAAATTAATGGCAGAAAATTATGATGAATTTGTTGTAAGCTTTAACCTTTTTTACGTTTGTAGAATTCAGTTTAGTTCACTTTAGTGCACTTATGTAAATATAGGGTAATAATAATCAAATAATTTGAACTTAGAACATTTACCAGTTATTAAGCTTTGCTTTGTTTGTGGTTTAAGGCTTTTTAAAAATAAATAACAATAGTTATGAGATGTTATGATATTACTGGTCAAAAAATAATTCCTTTAATGCTTACTCATCTGCATATGTTTATTACTTGAATATTAATTTATTTTTTGACAGTTCTTTTTCAGTAGAGGGCAGTCTTGTTCCACAGATGGGAATGTCACAATTCATGCCTTTTTAAAGGTAAAGTAATGTTTTTGTGGAACCATCACAGTAGAAGGTTTTTAAACCAACATTGAAAAATCTAAATACATTATGAAGGTTTAAACAAGCCCTCTGGAATTTTTATTAACCTTCTAGACCAAAATATGTTCCTATATTTTATTTCTAAAAAATAGTGCTGCACAGGTTACAGACAATGTAGATAGGGTCTTTAAAAATACTTACTTTCACTGCACTTTGCAGTAAATATTGTTGATTTAAGTCTGTACTTTACATCTTTACATCTCGCTTGATTAGGGCACGTTTTGTTTATTTGTGTCCTAAATGGTGTGTGCCAACTGCCAACAGGACTTTTTTGTGTTTTCTCCTGTCTTTCTTTTACCTTCTTTTCATTAAGGCAAATTTTCGACAGTGCACATTTAAGAGTTATTCTCCCATCTCAGCTGTGGAGCTCTGCAAATGCTCCAGACTAACCGTGGACACAAGGAGGCTCTATTTATCCAAGAATGTTGTTGTTGAGATTTTCTCACTGACCATCTCATTTCTTTCTCAATGTCCCAACTAGTCTGGACTGGGGTTGAGAAGACACAATTTGAGATTGCAATTTCATCCTCCTCAAGTCACTTTTAAAATATATTTTTGAGCTGGTTTCTTATGGTGGATGCTTTTAAAACCTGTATATACTTGTATTAATGTTAAGAATAATTTGTAATCATGAGCCTCTATCTTGGTCAGGAGCCCTTTGTAATTTTTTTTAGTTAATACATTTACTAACTAGGTGACATTTAAAATGCTCTAGTTTTCACTTGCACTCATCAGATTCAACCGGGCTGATTTAAAATGCATGCCACAGTTTTCTGATTCTTATTCAAACAATAAATAAAAAAATAAATACATAAATAAAGACTGCATCCCTATATTTCATTAATTAACTCCTTTGCCTCAGTCTACTGTAAAAGCTACAAAATAATGAGACAAAATGTTTTGAAGATGTAGTTGCAGTGTTACAAATTAAGAACAACTCCACAGGCGGATGAATAGTTTTCCACACGATTCTTGAATGTTTGCACAACCAAAGCATTACAGTGAGATTTAGCATTTCAAGAATTTTGTATCTACAAATACATGAGCAACGGTCGGCAGACTTAGATTTTTCCTTCTTATTAAGACTCATCCTCACACCTCCATGTCTCCGAGCACATTGCCAAATGCTGCTCTTCACACTTCTCACTCTCTCTTTCTACCACCCACACTAGGATAAATCATCACCACCTCTGCACGCAAAGCCTGCTCTTATCTGAACAGGTCTTATTATTGATCTCTCTCTTGCATCAGCACTAAGCCTAATACCACGCTGTAACTAAAGGTTAAACACACACACCTTTAAACAGAGTCTGCACAAAGTGGTCACAATAAACTTCTTTCTTTTTATTCGTTTCTCCGTTTGGAAATTGCAGGGTCAATATTTTCACATTACTTGACATGATGCACCAAAATGTACTCTTATCTGTTTACAGGAATACACTGAATAGAACACAAGGGTTTCACAATGGATACACGATTGACATTTTGCCCATTGCACTTACAACAGTGAATGACATTTTCCAGATTTGTAGTTTCTTCTTTTTTTCCTTCTCATCTCATCTCGCAGATCACATCCATCAAAACTTATAACCTCTTTTTTTGCCTGATAAAGGCCTTCTGCTGCAGGTTTTCTTAGTACAATATGTAGAGAAACTCTACACAAATTGGATGGATGGAAATGTGCGTGAATTTTTTTCCACTGTTGTAGAGTCAGTACAAGTCAGCCACATTCACTAGGCTTATGCAGTAATAATAATAACCATCATTAATAGTTTCATCATCATCATCATCATCATCATCATCATCATGGTCATAATAAATATTTTTAAACACAAAAGTTGGCAGCAAATACGGCATGGGGATGCACATGATAGCCGTACTCCGAACTGAAAAGCTGTACAGAAGAATGAGGTTGTATTTACAGTAAGAAATATGAGAATGTGTCCATCTGTCTTCCTGCTCATCCACATGGCTGCATCGAAGGCTGTTTTCAACTCTTATATCGACCACACTGCACCTCCGCTTTGTTTTGTCGCACATCTTAAAAGAGATTCCGTTATGCAACCTCTGTTTCTGCACTCCGGTGAGCAGCAATCGCCACCAGTCAGGCTTGTGCTTTCCAAATGACATGCCCTGATTTGTGAATGACTGGCTGAACGTTTTAACTCACTGATGTTCTCTTCATTGGCCTGTTTGAGTCAAGGTTTGTGAGGCAAATCCTTTTAAAATCATGCCTGACTTTTCTTTTTTCTATCATCGTTTCTACTGCAACGTCCAAGGAAAATCTAATCATGCACCTTTCAAATGACTTGGCCGCTGTGTGGGTTGAGTCAACAGTGAAGTATATCAAATATAAACATTCCATTCACCCCACAGGTTATACTAACACTCAATATGTACACTAACAAGAATTGATGAGAACTGCTTGACCATCTGTGTTACAGGTTCATAGCAGCACAGACAGTCACTGCAAGCCAAACAGGTCAGCCAAATTGCACAACAACTGAATGAGGGCTTACAACAACAACAAAAAAACAACAGCAACAAAAAAAAAAAACAGCCATGAAGCCAAGCAAAACCCCATGCTTGAAAAGCAACGTGATGGTGGACATTCATAAAACTGACAGTCTACACAAGTTTACCCTTTGGCAACGAGTCCCCACCCTTCACCGGTCTGACGGGAGAGTGGGGGGTTTTCAGAACATGCCGCAAAAATAAAAAAACAAATCTAGATCAATACTCAGTATTTAAATTCATACAGACAAGAGACCAGGTAAAAACGGGCTTAGTTCAGTTTTTTTGTTTGTTTTTTTTGTTCATGATTCTAATGTTTTGTCCTGAATACAGCAATGGTGATAAACTGCTTCAGAGTAAAGAACTTCCACATTTCAAAATGAATCATTGCATAGAACATTTGACTTTGATAATTGCTTTTCGTCCTCTCCTGTAGCTATGTTGTTCTGTGTGTGTCTTGCAGAAACGGAGGCAGTGGGCCCAGCTTTTTAGTGAATTGGTAACCTCATTAATCACCAGGAGGTTAACAAGTCCATTTGGTGAAAACTCAATTAGCCTTGGCTCTGAAGTGGAACTTGGATTGTGAGGGATGCAACGTGTGTATCAGCTTGTAAGGAATAAATATATAGTGTGTGTCCGCCTGTCTGCATGCTCTTACACATCCGAACATTATCATGCATGTCTGTACATGTGGTGCTGTGGCTGCAAACCCTCTGACAGATCTTATTACTGCTTTTCATTTGATATTTCTCTCAATCAATAACTCAAAAAAAAAACATTTATACCATTGTGCTATATACCATTTGCTGCATGCTATTGCTTTTAAAAACAAGAAGCAAATCCTTTGATGCAACAAGATTCAAACAAATACAAAGTGAAAATATAAACTTTTACAAAAAAACATAGCAACAACATAAAAATGGATAAATTCACTGAAGAGTGACTCGTTGAATACACAAATGACAAATTTACATCATAGATCTCTGATATTTTTATGTACATACAATAGTATACATTAAAAAGAAATGATATGGACATTTTAAAACATGAGGTATACAAGTGAAAACATATGTGAATAAGGCTCTTCCATTCAAAATCAGGCAAAAGAACAAGAAAAAAACAAAAACAAAAAACAGATGAGACAAATGAATAAAAAAGGATGTCTTTAATGATGGCTTAGCAATGGCTGATAAAGAGCCGTGGCCACTCTTTCATTTGGTCCTCTCGTCTGTGTGAGTTCACACGTTTGGGCACGCTGGTAGTAAGTCCCTTCCTTTAAAAAAAACCCAACACTTAATGAGTAGCGGCATCTTAAGTCGTGAAAAAAGAATGGATATGGGCTCATTTTTTATAGATTGTTTTCATTTTTTTTTTTTTTTTCCATTTATACGTGCATTCTCACATCCATGTTTACACAATTCTTTCTGTAGACACGGTAATGAACAGACGAGAAATTAAAAACACATTCAGAGAACTGTACAAGTTCCCTATACTGGAATGTAGTGTGGAAAAGGATTTTCGTGGAATTTCCAAGTTGGTATCTTGTTGCTGTTAAAAGCTTCGTGCGTTCCGGGTGCATGTCGTCATTGTAGGGTAAAACTGGTTTCTTTGAGACAAGAAAAACCTATGCAATCCAACCTTTTTTTTTTTTTTTTGAGAATGCTCAAAAAGCATCATTGTAGAATCAAAGATCCTATTGCAACGTGCTTTCCTCAGAGGCGCCTGGCGTTGCAAGGAAATCTCTGCAGAGGGCGCTGTAAGGCTTCTTTTGCAGAGCTGTAGCAAAGCAGCAACATGGATGGAAAGGTTGTCTGATAAACTCCCACTCCTGCCTCTGTTAGTAAAGATTGCAATACTTTCCCACAGGTTCCATGCAGGGATATTCCTTATGCAGGAGGAAAGAAAGCAAGAAGGAAGTGGTGTTTTCTTCCTCTACTTGGACACTTCCTCATTACTAACCTGAAAATAGATAAATAAAAAAGTTAGGAAGCTGGTTGTAATAAACTGTTAACAATCTTCTTCCTTATACTGCAGTGAATCAACTGCACTATTAATATTCATATTTTAAATGCATTTTGGCTGTGGACCTCATCTTCATCCAATGAGCCACAGCATTATTAAAGTACAATAATTAATAATCAGTTTAATTAAAAGAAAAGGAGAATCACAACTGGTCATTTGCTATTTCTCATAGAGTTTATTATTAAGGGTAATAGGAAAAAAAATTGTCTCTGAAAAATTGTGGTTATTTTGTTTCAATACAATATCAGTTGTTTAATTTGCCAGATGAAATTTTTTTTGTTTGTTTTTTTCCTGCTGGTGAAAGTTATAAAAATCCTCTTAGTGTACATAGTTGCAGCGAAAACAACCTCAAAAGCAGAAAGCTAGAATAAGGGCCCTGTATTTGAGTTTAAAATACAAACTTTAAAACTTTAAAAAACTTTTCTAGTCAACTGATCTTGCTTACAGTATTTTTAGAACTGGAAAAGCCGCTTTAATTGTTTTATTTTGTTACGCCAATACAAAGATTTGCACACTTACAAATAGGAAGAAATATGAAGCATGATTTTTTTTTTTTGTTTACAGATTTTTGCAAATTAAATCTGGAAGGTATGTCACGCATTTGTTTTAGTCCCCTTTATTCTGATAACTCTTTGTAAAATGCAGTCCAGTGCATTTTTATAGAAATGTTCAAGGTGCATACACAGAGCCTATCTTTAACAGTCACATATAAAAAGAGTCAAATTAATCTTTCTGGGAACAATTCCAGCTGTGTGAAGCTCAATGTACACTGTAAAGGTTACCTAGAGAGCAAACAGCACCTTAAAGACCTAGGAAGACAGCAGGCAAGTCAGAGATAAAGTTAGGAATGACATTAAAGCAGAAGTAGTTTAAAAAAAAAAACTCAAGTTTTAAACATCTCGCAGAGCACTGTTCCATATGTCATCTAGAGTTTGATTAGGTGTGCCACATCGCTAAATTTACCAAGATATTGCCCAGCCGCTGCACTGAAAAGCTGGTATAGGAGATTATTAATCTCAGAATTGACTCAGAAACTTAAGGTTAACCATAACAAATACAGGTAAGTCAGCAAATTGGTGAAAGCTGGAGCCCTAGTCAGATGAAACCTATTTAATCCAGATGTCTTTTTGCCCGACATTCAAAATACTGAGCCACTTCCCCTGCCTCTAAAAATTTAAACAGTCTCATGCTTCCCAATCCCTTCTGATTCTACCGGTCCCCTCAGTGAGAGGCTTTTTGCACAGCGCTGCCTGCCAGCTGCACAGTGGAGGACATGAAGACCATACAGCAGAGGTGGTTCTAAACCGGCTTACATTTATGGATAAGATATGCAAAAGCTAGTGAAACATCCTCCATCACTGAAATATACTACCAAAATCAGCTAATTTTGACAGTTATCCTTGCTTTAGGCCTTTAAAAAGTCATTATCATGCAAGGCATAGTGCTTCAGAGAATACACTATAAGAAATTCCATGATAGCAGACGTTAATCTTATTTGGCAAAAGTCAAAGAAAAGATGGAAAACCAACTCAGCCTCAGTTATATGTATAAAAATCATGGGATTTGTTTTGACATTAAGCCAAGTATAGTGAATTAAAATCTCTTTTATCTGCACTTTCGCAGCTCTGCTCTACTCAAGCAGAAGTTGTTCAGTCTGCCATGTAATGAATAATGTGTATCATTTGTCATCATACTGAGAAGCCCTACACCCTTTAAATTGTTTCTAAGTGTTTACATTAAAGCTGAGATCAATTTAGCTTTCTAAGGCTAAGTTCAGCATGCTTTGCTTGGCCCATATTATTGTTAGGATGCAGAGGCAACCCTTCCAGCCCTGCACTTTTATCATTTGGCCTTTAACCTCTGAGCCCATGTTCCAAGCAGAAATTGTTTACCATATTTAATATAGGTCTATAAATTAGATTAACCACCAAAATCAAAGTAAATTTGAAATGATTTACTGAGAAGTGTCTCTATGCACAGTCAGACTAATTTGCAGGTATCTTTTACCAGTTTAATATTGTTCTAATGAGGTCTTAGACATCTCCTGAATCATCAGTCTGGGACTTGGAGTTCTCTGAAAACCTCCACTTACTTGTATCCCTCTTCAGTCCTCCATTCATGTTTTGTACCAGCCTGCTGACAAAGCGATCTCCCTTATTTAATTCACTTCAGTCAAGAGCCCGTGTCTGGGGAATTCACTGCTGACAAGGCATCCTTTGATTCCAGCTCTGTTTGGTAAATTGGGGTAAAGAAAAGGTGCAGAGATTCACGACATTTAATGAGTCATCACTTCACTTGAGTCTTCTTATTTTGCAGGCATAAACTATGCTAATCTATGTAAATACACATCTGACAGAGTGTTAAGCTATTAATGAAATGAAAACATTACATGATTTCCTTTTCTTGAATATAACAGATTAACATAATCCTAACAATAAAACCATTAACACATGCCTTATATTTCCTGTATTACCATGTTTTTACCCACGTAATCAGATCAATAAAAAACATCCATACTGACTGATGCATTTAGGATCATTCTTCTTTTTCATGGTGGATGTGAAAAATATGTAAGGTGGTTTCATAGGTTTTTCGGTGCAAAGCAACTAGTCCATGTCATTTAATTTCTTCATCTCCTGAAAGAAAAAGCACAGAGGAGCAATAAACCAATACATCATCATTTTCCATAAAACTGTATCATATTTCATGTTCTCTGCAGAGCCTCTGCAATTTCATAGACATTTCATTCATAACCCAACTTCTTTTTCCATTGACGTACGTATATTTTGTCACACTGCTATTACAAACTTATATTTTATAAAGCAACACAAAGTGGTGAAGGATAAAGTAAAAGAGAAAGCTGCTTTTTGGCATGTGTTTAAAATAAAAATCACTGTTCAGAGAATTTGAATTCATCCTCAATTTAGAAAAAGCATTTTTTTCCCCCCATTTTAGATATAAGTCCCTACCAGCTTTGCGCTTCTGGGGCCTCAATTATTTTTTATTTATTTTTTTTTTTTTTTTTAACGTTTTTTTTTTTTTTTCAATTTCAAAGTATCCATTAGATGTAGTTTGACTTAGAGATTTTTCAGAGGGATAAGCTTTGATTGTAGGAATCTTGTAATACAACAGTTAAAAATCAAAGTTCACTGAAATGGCTAAGTTTTTGTGAGCAAACAGGTATTTAACTTCAGTTTTTCATTGCTCACGTTGTAATAAACAGTTAAAACGACACAACTACAGAATGAAGAAAAACATTTGAAAGGGATAAAAAAAAGATAAGATATAGAAGGGTTGTAGCAGTACATAAAAATGTGTGAGTGTGGAGCCCATCTTTATGTCCATATATTCTAAATAATTAAAGACTGAGGCCAGGTTGTAACAGTGCAATTACTTATGGTGAATAGCTCACCCTACCCTAACCGTGAGGAGTATATTTTGCTCAACAGAGACTGTCTAGGAAAAAAAAACTAATTCTATGCCAGCTCATTTTTTGTCTTTAGCACTCTATACTAAAATCAGTAGAGTCTGACTAGGAAGTGTCTAGTAAGCATACATGTTTGCCTTTGACCTGTACAGTTTGGGGGTAGAAGAAGGGTCAGCCCCATTGGTTCTCTTTGCAGACCTTTTTTTTTTTTTTTGCAGTTTTGACTTGTCTTGTTTTGTAGGTGAGCCTAACTAAGGAAGAGAGTGCCCAGCGTCTCCCGTGGGAAGCCTCTGGGCCTGTTTCCAAACAGTCCATGTGTGAGGACTGCCACAGGTCACTAGAAACTGGTCATGGTCTGCAGTTAAAACAGTGTGGTTTAGGATGAAAGGGGGTTGTTGTTCAGGATGGTGTAGAGATTGTTCTCCAACACTACCCTTATCTCCATCATCTTTAGCAGCTTTAGCTGCAGGCGATATTCATTTACAGGGAGTAGAAGAGTTGGGAAAGAACACATCCCCAAAAAGGCTCCAGTGTTGATTCTTTTAACCTCACACATTAGCTGTGTCCCAATGTCCTACCTAATCACTATATAGGGCACTATATAGTGGTTATGGCAATTTAAATGAGTGTCTGAACGTCTAGTGGATGAAAATGTAGTGGACTCGAAATTTCCCATAATACACCTTAAAAAGTAGTGCTCACCCATGGTCACTAGATAAGCAGATACTGTATATCCTGGAATACTTTGAGAGGAGAGCTCTCCTCGTAAAGCATTATGGGATTTGCTGTCATAGCGGCCTGCTATCGCCATAGGCTGTCGCTACCTGACAGCGCAGACTAATAACAAAGATGGCGCAGGCTTTGCACAGTGGAGAAGGAGTTACGTGACCGACGGGGGATAAAAAGTAGTGATCATCTGTTCAAACGGTGAGTTAACTGAGTTCAATATAAAGTCCACTATATAGTCCCCGCTCTATATAGTGACTGAGGGATGTAGGGGTTAGAGCGGATGTTTGGACACAGCCATTGACTGAGGGGTTAGTCAGGAAGCTTGTAATCAATTGACAGGTGGAGGCCGACACTGTCAGCTGAGAGAGCTTCAGATGCTTCAGCAACACTCAAAGCATTTATTTACCGAAGACATCATGGAAACAGGCCTGAAGTTATTAATGCTCTATTCCATTTTTACTACTGTAGAAGCTTTGGGATTCCAACATCCGAGAAAGACATTTTAACTGCAACGCTTACAAAGATCGGACTGACAACTTGGAAATTCAAGGCAGCCTGACCATCCCCTACTTCACCATTTCTAATGGCTGCTACTTGCATCTACAGAAGTATAAGTCTCTTACTTTCGCTATTCTTAGTCTTCTTTCTTTTTATATGGACAAAATCTCACATGAGTAGTATTTTTTTTATTGTAACAGTAGGGGGGGGGGGTTGTTTTAGAGATATTGGTGGAAGATCCATGTAGACCCTTTACGTGAGAAGGAATGACAGTTGCAGCTTCCTTCTGCCACATGTGTCTGTCCACCCAAATTAAACCACTTAACTACACACTTCCTACAAATCTTTTAAATATGTGCAAGCTTTAGTTTAAATGGTTGAATGTAGCTTTAGTGTATTCCCTGAGTAGTCAGTATAAAGTGCTATATGAATTTGTCAATTACTTGATCTAAACTATGCAATCTTAGCTATGTTTCAATTTTAGAATCATTATCCTGCTAGAAGGTGAACCTCAGCACAAGTCTCAAATTAAGTCCAAATTAAGTCCAACTTCAGGATTGCTCTGGAGGGAATCCTATATTTCAATCATCTTTGAAAAATGTCCCGGAAGGCCAGATGAGTTTAGGGTGATGTGTGGTTGTAGCTTTCTGCCACACATACTTTAGCGTTTTATGAATGGATCTAACTACTAGTGCAGAGCAGATTTTCATTAATGAAATAATGTATGTACGATTTTCCATATACTTCACATTTATACTCAAATTTGCTTTTCTATCACATGAAATCTACATCAGCAAAACAAACAAACACATGAAAAAATGTTATACGCACATTATATTTGACTTTACCATGGCACATAAATGATCTTAATAAATATATTGAATATGTCAATTGTAATCCATGTATATGAGACAAAAAATGTAGTGTACTTACTTGCAAAATTTTTGTTCACCACAATGAGGTGAACTTCTTCCCAAGTCCAGACAAAGCTGTCAAATTGACAGAGGAAATTTAGATAAATAAGAAAAGCTGAGCTTTTTTTCAGTAGTGTAAAACAATTGGCTGCAAAACAAAGATAAAAAATAATCATACCATCTCCCAGTTTTCCTGCCTGCTCAGCTGCCCCTCCCTGCAGGATTTTGGTTAGAACATTTTCCCCGTCTGGACCTGGGGCCTGACCTGCTGCAGCGCTTCCTATTCCTACAGGCTTGCTTCCGATTCCAACAGGAGCTGCCTTAGAGCCTGCAAGTGAAACAATTAAACACATTCCAATAACACTGTACTTTTAAATAATAGTAACTGACTGACACATGAAAGTGAACCAAAAGACAAAAATAATTATTTTTTGAATCCATTGAAGTATTTAAAGCTACTCCTAAGAGTCAGTGGGTCACTGTTTTGAAGACGATCATATTCAGTCATTAAAGAGGAGCTGAAGGAAACATTGGTATCTTTTTTTACATTGAATGAGGATTATGATTTTGCCAAGAGATGATGGAAAATATGCAAATACAGATCTATGCTGCCACTGAGCCCTAACCCTTAACAATGTCCTGTCTTGGTCTGTTATTTGTTTCTTCTTGTGCTCCTGTTTTATTTCGAAGTTCAGTGTCTTGTTTTCTTGTGTGTTCCCTTCCTATATTGAAGCCTGTTTTCAGTGCCTGGTATTCCCGTGTTAGGAATACCAGGCACGTTTTTAGTCTGCCAGTAAAATAAAAATGATTGTTCAACAAACAACAATCTTTCTAACAGTGTTTGCATTTTGCATCCATCCATCTTCTCCAGCTTATTCCGTCAGGGTCACAGTAGGGCCGGTGCCTATCTCCAGCAGTCTATGAGCAAGAGGCGGGGTACACCCTGGACGGGTCAACAGTCTGTCGCAGGGCAACACAGAGACACAAGAAGACATACGATGCACACACGCTCACACCTAAGAACAATTTAGAGATGCCAATTGAACTACAGTCGCCCAGAACCTTCTTGCTGCCTCCCACTGGTTTAGTGAGGAAATGCTTGTTCAACCAAGTATCTCTATCTCACAATGTTAGAGAAGAATCTTTTATGTCCAGATAATGACCTATATTATCCACAAAATATAATGGTTTGTTAATTTGCACGACGGACACCTATGATAAAAAATGTAATTAAAACCCATCCATACCTTTTAAAGTTATCTTGTTCACAGACAGACAGTCAGACAGAAACACACAAACAAGCTCTCTAAAAAACATAACCTCTTTGGTGGAGGTTATTACCAATGCCGGTTAGAGGTGGCGTGGCTATTTTAGTAGGCGGAGGTGCTGCTGTGATTCCTGGTGCAGGTCTCATTCCTGTGCCAGCAGCAGCAGGAGGGACATCTATTTTTCCCTGCAAAATGGCACACAGGTAAGAAATAGTTCTGATTAGTTAGTTTGTTAGTTTTAATTGTTTTTGTCATTGCTGTTTTTAAGCATAATTTATTAAGGAAATATAACATAAAAATTGTAATATAATATTAACAACAACAGGAATAATAATAATAACAACAATAATAATAATAATAATAATAATAATAATAATAATAATAATAATGCCCATAGAGCATGATATAACTGCCCAAATTAAACATTACAGCACCATGAAACAGCTAATGTTAGTTGTGGCAGCTATAATCAGCAATACAGAACTAACAGAGTTTAAATAAGCTTTTGGATCCAGTTCTGACTTTAATTCTCTGTGTCTGTAATTTTTCATTCTTATATAGGTTTAAACATACAGTAGTTATTCAGTTCTTATATGTTTCACTAAGGGGCTATTTATCACAATTTGTATATAAAATATGATTAGAATAATAATAATATATAACGGGATTTAAAATATAAAACATAATATGATTAAGATATTGAGAAAAACACATGCTTCATTTTTAATGCATGTAAAAAATCAGAGATCAGTGCAAACTGTTCCTTGAAATTTTAATCTTCACATGAAAGCCAGTATATTTCAGATTGTATTTAAATTTATTAATGTTAGGGTGCTACTTAAATTGTTAAAGACTTGCAAAGACCATAAAGGGGACCATGAGAGTTGTTACTAATGAATTATAATTTTTCAACCAAATATTGTCTTCTACGCTCTTGCTAAATGAAAACAGTAGTGTTGCGTGTTTAATAATCAATGTAAAATCTTATTTTTTTTTTAATCTGAAAAAAAAGCATATTTTAATTTTTTTATTTTCTGTTTTAGTTGAAATTTGGGATTTTTTGAAAGTTAAATACATCTAAATAGCGAAATATAAGACACTATAACTTAAGCATTGATCTGATTTTTTCCGAAATAATTTCGTAAAAAATATCACATTTCACGACTACTAAAGCACATCCATGATTTAGTAGTCTAGAAAAAACAAAACCAGATCCACTTACTGCCGTGGCTGACTGCCCTGCTGCAGACCCGATTCCTGGTTGGCGTCCCTGTGATGGAGTTTGTGCAGGTCTTGCTTGCTGTTGTTGCTGTCCTGGTCCAGCTCCTGCGCTTGTAGCTTGCTGGTTACTCTGTGGGCTTTGATTGTGCTGTGATGGCTGTTGCTGTTGTTGTTGTTGTACACTCTGCTGCTGCTGCTGCTGCTGCACCTGCTGGTTTCCATCAAGTTGTTCAGAACCTGAATGCCTTCCTGTTTGCCCCTGACCCTCTGATCGCTGCTGCCCAGCTTGTCCCTGAGGTGGCTGCAGGTTCTGTGACTTGGAAGAATCTGGTCTCCTGCCAGTTGTCCGATCACCTTGAGCTCTTTGGCTTCGTCCCCCAGTGCCATGGTGATGACCAGAAACAGGCTCACGAGAGAACTCGCCTGAGTTGCGTGGGCTTCCATGGGCAGAGCGAGACTCTGTACCACTCCTCCTTTGGGTGGATGAGGAGATCCTGCCATCAGTGCGACCAGATGGATCTTTGGGGTGGGTCCTGGAAGACCTTGAAGATTTAGGGTCCTCTGAGGAGTGGCGGGACGAACTGTGTCTACCAGAGCTGCTGCCGTGGTGGCGATGATCCCGTGATGAAGAAGAAGGGTGGCGCTGGTTGTACTCATCCTGTTGACAATATTCTTCTGGAGGCTCATCATAGTCATGGTAGGTATGTTTACTACGCCTCCCTGTGGAGGAGTGACCTCCGCTCCCATGATGTCTTGAGCGATCAGAGCGGGCCTCTCGTGGTTTTTCAAACCAGTCAGTCTCCTCTTGGCCCAAATGATAGGCTTTTTTGAAAAGCAATTAACATATTATCAGTCAACAGCTGTAATACAGTGAGTGGAATAGCATGCAGATTAATGTGGAAGTGAGGAAACATGCCCATCAGTCCAGAGCCATGCAGATTCAAACAAAAAAAGCTAAAAACTCAAATGATCTAGAACTTAAAAGCCATGCACAAAAAAATGAGGTATTTTGGCTTTATATGAATAAGAAAAAAAAGAGACAAAAGAACCAAACTGCTCCTTCAGAGTGCACATGCAGTCTGTTCAGCACATCTGAAGATTGAAAAAAAATCACAGAAGAATTAATTTAGCACCAGTTACCTTCACTATCAGAAACAGCACAGTGCATGTCATCTACGAGATAAGGATCATCTGGTTTATAGACATGACTTCGGGGAAGCTCCTTTTTATGGTGATCTTGCACATCTGGTAGCGAATGGCTGGAACCATATTGGTTTCTCACATCATGGGCTTCAGACATGGCAGAGCTTCTTCCCATACCTACAGGCTTGCCAACAGGACTAAGTGGACTCTCCTCTTCTGAATTCTGAGCTCGCATTGGAGGACGTCCACTTCGGCTACTTCTATGAGAACGCTCCATGGCATCTCTTTCATAAGATTTGCTGCGGTGCCCTGTTGCATCCCTGGAGGAAATCTTATCCATACCATAGCCAGTAGATCTGGAACGTCCAGAGCTGTACATGCGATCATCCTCTTCGAGACCCTCATGGCTGGTGCCATAATATTTCTGTTGATCATATGCATTTTTCTTTATGCCATAGCTGACATCACCTTGATGCTTCTTAGATCTTGACCCAGCTGGACAGGTGCCTGCAGTTGACGTCGGCATTGTATAAGAAGCAAGGTCTGACTCCACATCCCGAGCTTCCTCAATAGGTGAGAATTTGGAAATCTTCTGCTCCATTCCTTGTTTCCTGTGCTTACTACGTTTGGAGGAGACTACAGCAGGAGCAAGATTTTTGGAGGAGATTTTATGGCCACCAGAGCGAGAGGGATGTTTATAATCATCGTAGTAATAAGATGAGCCCCCACTTACTGTGGTGCTGGTACGACTGTCAACTGTGCTTTGGTAAGTACCTGCTCCTGTAGGTCTTCCGTAAGCATCAACAGGCTCCTCATAGCCAGGTCCTCGTGCAGAGCCATTCTCACTGCGATACCTTCCTCCCATGGAATGACCATGAGCATCAGTAGGATGACCAGTGTTGTCTTTAGTCAACTCACTGATGTCATCAATCATTACATAGTTTCTTGGAATATTCTGCTCCAAGTTGGATGTGTACAGACCATCTGAAGTATAAGCAGAAGTGGGACTGTCCACAGAGTGAGTTAGGCCAGGCTCAGGTGGGCGGTATTGTCCAAATGCATTGTTGTAAGCTGGTGCAAAATTGCTTTCTGGAGCAGATGTGGCCACTGAAACTGCTGGGTTGCTAATGACTTCATAATTGGTGGGAAGTTTTTGTTCAAGGTCAGCCAACGAGGTTTGCCTTGGTCTTTGATGGACGGTAAGGATCTCTGCCTGTGGCTGGTAGGTCAGACCATGCTGATAAGAACTGTGACTTGGATAGGGAAGGCTCTGTCCTGGCAAAGGCTGACCAGGTGAATGAAAGCCCTGGTGAGCATGCTGCTGCATAGTGAAGTCACTTTGGTAGGAGGACTGGCCATACAAGCGGGAGGAGTAGGTTCCCTGGTTCTGATAACCAGGAAGTGATGGAGGATGGGGCTGGAATGTTCCAGGCTGAGGGGCAGAGGATGGAGGGTACTGAGGAGTTTGAAAACCTATTGGCTGGTATGCAGAACCAGGCTGCTGTGTTGATGGTTGACTTTGAGGGTATGGATATGGCATATAAGAAGAGGTTGAGGGATACTGTGATGTTGCATTAAGATCATTGGTAAACTGACTTAGCGGTGCAGTACTAGGTCTTGTCAGTAAACCATTAGCATCATAGGCTCCAGTTGCAGCAGCCATCCTGAGGTTATTTAGTTCACTGTCTGACATATAGTCTCGAGCATCACCCATGCATCGCAGATAAGCTAACTCTCTCCTCTCCCTCTCCTTTACCATGGTTTCCTTACGCTGAGTTATACCCAGCTCCAAGTAGCGCAGCTTGGCATCTATCTCTTTTTCTTCTTCCTCCAGTTCAGCCTGCTGCTTACGGAGCTTAGATGACTCTTGCTCCACCACTTTTAATTCGCTCAAAAGGCCAGCCTTGGTGACTCCTTGGGCTGGTCTTGGAAGCACTCTCTGAGACATGCTGGGGGAGCTATACATTTGTGCTGGAGTAACAATGGGAAGTGGAGCTTCATCTGGAGGGGGACTGGGGAGGGTCCTCTTTACTTTCCTCATCAGAGAGTTCTGCTGCTGCTGCTGCAGGGAGCCCATCTGCCATGACAGCCAGACAAAGAAAAGCAAACGCTCAGCTACAAACAACATCCATTTATTTCAATTAAACTTAATGGTTTAACTGACATTTGCAGAGTGCCAATATATTTCTTTATCTCAGAAACATAATAAAAGTTACTCTCCATAGTATTATCACAATATCAGCTATGAAATGGATACAGGATCAATAATTATAGCAGTCTCTCAAATTACAGATTTAAGGCTTGGTACTATATTGAAATATAAAAATAGAATTTTTTTTAAAGACATATAAGATAAGACTATATTATTTATATGATGGTCTACCTTGCTTTATAATGTACTTTTACATTTTTACAGTATGTATGTCAATAAGTTGTATGTTTTCAGCCATTGCCCATGTTTTTCTTATTGCAGCTCATTAGAAATATGCATTTGTGACATTTAGGAATAAGGTTAGATTCAAAAATGCATTTTTAACATTAATTTATGAAATTCAAAACATATTGAGACATATTTAGTATATCCCCATTGGGCTTAATCAAAATATTAATTTTGGTCCATATTGCCCAGCCCTACAAAGCACTGAGGATTTATCTTAAATGTAAACCGGCTGAAGTCTCAGTCTTAAGGTAAAAGTCATCTAATGATGTATCTATACATTTGTCTCTATAGCAGATACCTCTTAAACTCTGTTTATGCTTTACCATGTACACTTTACATCCCATAAAGAGTTATAGAAATTTTTAAACCAAATAAACTAGCTGCTCATATGTCATCTACTGTATATCTGTCATGATGCATATAACCTAAGTTGTTTCTTATACGTTTCTTGCACAACTTTTGTTTAATTATTTTGTTTTTAAAATACACAAAAAAGAACCAGGATTTAAAATCAAACTATATGGCAATAAAGTGCAATATGCCCAATCAGAATAAAGTATTCCAAAAGGAAAAAAATATCAAGAATAGTTCAGCAAGATAAAGCATTAATTCCAAAGATTTCATTTCCATTAGCTAACTCACTCCTAAAACATCCACATGTGTTGGTTTTTTACACATATCTGGAAATTGCATGCAGATAGGATCAAATTATTCTCTACATGAAACGATAAAAATGCAAAATAAATCTAAGTCAATTTATTACTTACAAAATATAAATTTTAAGTAGATCCAGGATGATTTTGTGAAGCATTATCCAAACGAGCCATGGTATAAAAAACTAAGATTCTAAATTGTAATTAAAAATGTGAAGACTTATTTCGGTCGTAGAGGAGAGTAGAGTTAATTCACTTTGCCCAGCTGCTAACAATCATACAGAGAACAAAGCAGAGCCAGAATTTCTTCCCATTGTGTGTCCTTCAGGCATCACTTTAGGGGTTTTCCAGATATAAAAAGCATTGCATGAACACAGAATGTGAGAGAATAACAGACTGAGAAAGTAAAGGAGGAAGATGAAGGAGTAAATAGAGGGATGAGAGGCGTTTATTGCATGGCCAGATGCCTGTATGAGAACATTCTGTTTCCTCTTCTTCGGTGCTACATATGCTGTGATTATGTACCTACATTAATGTGAATGAAGATGTTTATTAATCTTCATGTTTGTAAGTGACCTTTAAAGCACCGATCAGAAATATTCATACCCCATCTTTATATGCTTCATGCTACAGCTATGAATTCAGTTTTATGTTCAACATAATGCAGTGCAAAATTCTGAAGGGAAAATAAACTGAGGGTTGCTATTGATTCTTTTACAAATAAAATCTGTTCTGTTTAGCTCCGGGGTCGGCAACCCGCAGCTCCGGAGCCACATGCGGCTCTTTAGCGTCCCCCTTGCGACTCCCTGGAGCTTTTTCACAAATTTATCAAAATCGATTTTTTATTTGTTTGTTTGTTTTAATATGGCGTGTAGGAGGTCAAACACACATTTATTAGGTTTTCCAATGCTGTAAAAATTTATATAATAAAAAACATTTAAAAATTATTTGTGTCATTGCCATAGAGATCAGTGGTCATAACTTGCAACCAGCGTGGCGCAGTGCCAGGCAAACAAAGCTGCAGTTGTGTCTCGGACCATGGATTACAAAGGGAAAAAAGGAAGATAGCTGATGAGAAAAGAGGATTCAAGAATGTAGCGAAACATATGCTTTCATTATCAATGCGGAAGGATTGCCTGCATTTGCTTTGTAATAAGAGGTTGCCGAAAAATAAAACGAAAAATTTGGAAAGGTATATCCAGGGAAGGCTAAAGATGCAGCCGACCACCGAGGTTGGAGTGAGAGAAAAAGAGCGATTGCAGAACTTCTGGAAAAATTAGAGAAGCGATAGATAAGATAAAATAGGATAAGATAGATTTAAGAAGTGGATTGCATCTCTAAACTCCACTACTGATGGTAGTTTTGTTGCAAGGATGGAAAACCATCCATAAATCCAACGGGTAGTGCTCTGATGCAGCTATGGGAACTCCTAAAAATATAAATCACACCAAGGAATAATAGTGATGGAGGATGTGGGATTTCAGGGATAGAGAGTACTGCTGACGGATGTCAGTTCCTGCTTGGTTCCTCATGACTCAATCAACTCCTCCCAACAGAAACACGTCCACCATAGAAAGATTCCTTTATTGTGTTTATATATTTCATCAATGCAACAAAACTTAAACTGCATGGTGAAGGGCGATGAAGCGGTGCACAATGGGAGCGTTCACTGCCTGTCCATCACCTCATGTTGCTATGTGACATTTGCCCCAGGATAAACATATAATCATGAAAGCTAATTATATATTTAAGCCCACATAGTCCTTTTCTATAGTGGGATAATACACTTAGAGCCCGGGTTGCCATAAGAGACTTACCGGTATATAAGACTTTTACATTTTTGTGGCGGCAGACTGATTTATCTTTTGTTTTTTTGGTCCAATATGGCTTTTTGAGCAGTTTGGGTTGCCGACCCCTGGTTTAGCTCCATCCATTAACTCAGAGCAGCTCCCCTGTCTTAAGAAAAGCAACCAAACAGCCTGAGGCTGCCACTAATAGGTTTTATAAAACTAGGATTTTGGATGTATTTGCTTTACGTACTACATGACTTATAGCAAACTGCAAGTAGAATGTTTTTTTTGTCTTGTTACACTACAATGGAGACCAAATGTGCGAAAGTTTTCCACTCTTTCCCACATGAACTGTGAACCTCTGCACCTTTTTCAAATTTACTTGCTTCTCTTATTAATGTACTCCTTGCCCAGACTGTCATTTTAAGCAGACAGCCTGCTTTGGTAGGTCTGCAGTTAAAGCATTAAATACAATTTTAGATGATAGATTGAAAAACACTTTCTGATATTGTTAAAATTTGGAATATTTTATTGTAAACAATTCTGGCTTTAAATTTCTCCATAACTAACTCCATTACCTTTCTTGTCTGTTTCTTAAACTCTGTAAACTGTTTTAATAATTAATGTTCTTTATAAACCACCTAGGCCTTCATAGAGCCAGTGTACTTTGCTGAAGCAAAATTACTATATACACTTCAGCTCTATTCAGTGGTTATGGCCTTTCTGAATTAAGCTGGTTAACAATAGATTTTATTTAGGGTATCAGAGTAAGGAAACTTTATACAAATTAATGTAACAGTACACACATAAACTCCCAGTGTAATCCATTGAAATAGTGGGATGTAATGAGACAAGATGCTCAAGGCTTATGTTTCTGCTATATACCCAAAGGTATGTATATGAGCCTTAATCTAATCCCTTTTTTCTCTTATAAATGCTTATTTAACTGAATTCAAAACATTTCAACAGACATCATTCAAAAATATATGCTTAATAAATAATTTGTAAATAAAAATGTTTATTCTGTACCTGACTGTTGGAAAGCACTTGATGATACGGGGAGAACCGGTTCTTGGCAGGATCCTCTGATGTTGGGCTGAGAGGTTTAGGATCTGACATGGAGCGCTGCACACTTTTTATGGGCCTTGGCAAAGACTGATGACGTTGCGGAGATTCTGCAGTGAAGGCCTTCTGTTGGGGTGTGACATGGGCCTTGTTAAGCTTCTCCTGGGAGGCAAAAGTTGTCTCCAACATCCGATGAGGAGACAATGGAGAAACTGGGGAGTACAGTACTTGGGGAGATTTTGGGGGTTGGCGAGATGAAGACTCATTTTGTTGCTGATGATAGCTGATTTCCAAGGGATCTGGTTTCCTCCTTTCAAACTTTGCCACTCCTTGGAGTCTAGGGGAAGCTGTGTCACATGAATTACCACCTACTATATGAAGACTTGTCGAGTATGGGCTAATAGTTGTGGGGACACTCAGCTTTGGGGTGACTACCCCCTGAGAATGTGACTCTGGTTCCGTCTGGCAGGCTAGACTCTCTCCTTTGTGAGTTCTTTCTGGAGCCGCTATATAATGCAACAGGTCAACTTTTGAGGTCTCTGCCATGGTAATGTGAATTGCAGGTGAAACTCTGCTGAGTAGGTCGGACTCTGTTTGACATGATGAGTCATTAGTGGTCTGAATAGCTATACTTGCAGAAACTACCTTGGAGGAGCCATCAGATTTTGTATCAGCACTAGATTCACTGTGCTTGGACACACGAGACCGTCTACGCCTCACTGGTTGTTGTTCCCATTCTCCCTGGTCTTCCTCATCAGTCTGTACACTGCAGTCTGCAATACGCCTTGTTCTCCTTCGCCTATTCAAGTACCTTTCCTCACCATCCTCATCATCTGTTTGCACACAGCTATCTATAATTCTTTTGGCAGACTCTTCCTCTGAGCCATCCCTCAACCGAGGCATGGAATTCTGCTTTTTCATCATTTTAGAATCGCTTTGCTTGTCACTGCTTCTTAAAGACATTTCTGACGTGGAGCTATGAATTGGTCGAGCAGCCATGACTGCTTGGACAACCTGTCCATCTTGCCAAAACTGCACACTCTGTCCATCTTGCTGAAGGACTCTACCAGTCTGATCACAGATTATAAATCCTTGAGGGGCCCCTGATCCAACAACTACCCCTTGGATGGCACTCTGGGCTGATGTTGCTGCAGCCACTGCTGCAGCTGATGCAGCAGCAGCCTCAGCAGCTGCAGCTGCTGCCGCTGCTTCAACTGCTGCTGTCTTTTGCCTTTTCTGCTCCTCTAATTGCTGCTGAAGCTGTTGTTGTAGAGTCTGAATTTGTTCAAGCTGCATTCTTTGCTGGGCTAACTGTTCTCTTTGCATTATCAGTTGGGTCTCCCTCTCAGCTTGCTGTTGCTGGAGAACTTGATGTTTGATTGTCTGCAGTTCTTGAATTTCCCGTTGAACAAGCAGTTGTTCTTTTTCTCTGTGACGTTGAAGCTCCATTCGATCTCTTTCTAACTCCTCTTGCAGTCGCAACTGCCTCAGTTTTTCTAATTCAACCCGCTCTCTCTCTAGCTGCAGCAGTTGCTCTTGTTGTTGATTGAGTTTTTCCTCTTCCTTGTTTTTTTGCACATCAGTTGGAGAGGATAGTTTGGAGCTTGATGTCTGAGTAGTTTCAGCTTGTGTCTGGCCCTGAGACAGAACTACTGATTGAGACTGACAAGGCTGTTGTGTTTGAGGTTGGGTTTGAGTCAATGATAAAGGTTCCATCTGTGTAGGTAATTGCTGTGTCTGCATTTGAGCTTGTAATTGTTGGGCAGTCAAAGGTTGGCCTTGAGCTTGAGAAGGAGAAGCAATACTTTGCGATGTTAATTTATAACGTTCTATTTGCTGTTCGCCTGTGGTTTTTATACTAGCTGCAGATATACTTTGCGTAATTGAGTGTGCTGCAGGTTGGGTTGGTGGAATAGTGGCAGTTGTTGGTCCTGGTGTTGTTGTTAAAGGCTTCCCAAGGTATACTGCAGTTTCCTGTTGGGAGCTGGTTAAGTCAGCAACACTTCCTGTTGGTGTGACAGATGTAGGATACTGGTTTGGAGTGGGGTATGAATATGTTCCCTGTGTGGAGAGAGGCATTCTGGGAGACATTTGAGGCAATCTGGTAAGACTAGCCAAAGGTACTGCAGTTACACCTGTAGGATAGGGCCTGTAAATTCCCCTTGGCATGGGACGAATTACTGGGCCAGGCTGTGTAGTAATTGGCAAGGTTGAAGCAATGGGAGTATTTATAGTAGAATAAATCATTCCATCACCGCCTCTCATAGAAGTTGGGTACAAGGCACGTATACTTGCCTGTCTTGCATTAATTAAATTTGTTAGGGCTTGGCCATTCACAGCTTGTCTACTATCTGGTCCATAAAGCAAATTTGCCCTTATTGATGCTAAGCTTTGCTGGAGATTTAATCTGGCTAAAGGTCCACCTCTTGCAGCCCCATATGCTGCCAGTTCAGCATTATTTCCATAACGGCTTCCATACTGGTCTACAGTGTTAAGGGCTGCACACATACGACTGATCTCTCTAGCAGTTGTTGCACTATACTGAGCAAGATTAGAGTCCTGTGATCCTGTGAGATCACGTGAACCACTGGCATGATCAGAGTTAATATTTGACATGGAGCCATATCTACGAATAGGTAATGAAGGGCCTGTAAAATCGCCCTGTTGTCGTAAGTCTGTGTAAGATCCATACTGTGCTCCCATGCCCAGGTGTCCACCATGATAACCTTGATTCATACTGCTGAGGTCTACAGCCAGACCACCCTGGAAATTATTCTGGTAGGTACCAGCATCACTCATCGAAGGCAGATTAGTATCAGACATAGAGGATTGTAATCTACCTGAAGAGGCTATAGCTGGTGGATATAGTTTGTGTTCCTCTTGTGTAACTTGAGACTTATGTTGTGATTGTTGCTGCTGGCTAACAATGTATTGTGGTGGTTGAGGAGGATGTGCTGCTTGAGAAGCTTCAGTGCAGGGATTTTTATCTGACAGCCCTGCCGTCTGTTTCTGAGAGAATGTCCCTGAACAGGTACCAGCAAAGGGCAATTTGTAAACAACATCACAACAAACTGCTTGGCTTTCTTGTTTTAGTTGTCCAGTTAAATCTAAAACCTGAGGAGGAGGTGGTGGTGCAGGGGTCTGCTCTTCTTGCTTAACTAGTTGAGTCACTACGGCATGTTTTGAAGCGTTACTCTCATCAAGTTGTACCATCATTATATGCGGTTTTCCTGTTGATAGATTTATAACAGTTGGCTTATTTTTTAGCTCTAAGGCAACTCCACCATACATTTCAAGGGATACATTAGAAGCGAGAGTCCCAGACGCTGATGGTGGCGCAAGAGGAGAAACTCTAGGTATGGTACTAGCTGTCACCACAGGTTGGTCACTGCTTGTTTGGGAAACTACAATGTCTTTTTTTACTAACAGTGGCTGTACTTGATTGGCTAAATTGTAACGAGCAAAAGAGGACTGCTGTTGATGCTGTTGGAGCTGCTGTTCCAGAAGCTGTTGCTGCTGCAAGAGTTTTTGCTGCTGTAATTGCAGTTGCTGCTGCTGTATGCCCAGATTTTCCAGACAGGCATCAATTTTGGGTATGGATGGATCAGTAACTGGTGTTTTACTTTGGGTTAAACAAACAGCTGATCCTACACCCTGACCTAGATCCACACGGTTCTGTAACGGGTCTCCATATACAACAGGTTGTTTCGGTTGAGATATGAACATTGACCCTGCAACTGTTACACTCACTGTTGTTGGTGTTGATACAGAAACATGTGGCTGCTCCTGTGCATTGAGATTCATAATAAGAGGCTGCACTGCTGTGTGTCTGGTGGATGACTGCTCTGTTCCTAAAGAGTATCTTCTTGTGTCAGAGGCAAGAGATGTTAGATCCATTCCTTGATCTGTCATAATAATTGGAGCAGGTCTTAATGGAGCTCTCAGATCCACAACATTTGTACTTTGCTGGGTAAGACTTTGTCCCACAACCTTTGAAGCACGGCTTTGTGTGCTTGTAATCCCAGCACTCACACCAACATTTACTTTTTCTATATTCTGCCCAATTTGTGAAGATTGCTTTTGCTGTTGATATGAATGCAGCTGAGGTGATGTTGGAGAGGTTGTTGGAGGGGGTTGTGAGCCATACAAGGTTTTACAACTGGCCTCTGTTGGTGACGATATGGGGGAAGTGGATGAATTCACAGTAATTGGCTTGCCAGGGCTGGGCTTTTCAGAGCCTAGTGTTATGACCATCACAGGTGAATCTTGGGATGACTGCTGTCGTACAAGACGAGGTGACATTGTTCTTTGAGGTACCTGTGAACCATGGGACGCCGGAGCTGTTGTCGCACCAGAGGGCAAGGTTGGTAGCTGCCTGTTACTACCGCTAGTCGGTCGAACAGATGTTGGATGTGTTGGACTTCGTGTTGGGGAAGTAGTTGGAGAGACTGGGGGGCTGGGTCCTTTAAAAAGTGAAAAGACCTTGGAGGTCAATGAGGATGATCCAGGATCAGGTACTGCTTGAGTTGGCCTCTGGGACCCAGCTCTGTTGCTACTAGGCACTGGACCTCCAGTCTGACGACCTGAGGCTGCCTGAGTAATTTGACCTTTGGTGGTGGCAACTCCAACAACTCCTTCAATTTTGGCACTCTGTGTCATCATTCTGTTTTGTGTTTCTTTAGACAGATGCTGTGTAGCATGCATGCCTCCTATTCTTGAGTCACTGCCTGATGTTGAAAAGGACAAGGGGGCAGTAACTTGTGTTGGGCTTGAGCCAGGTGTTAGGGATGTTCCAGCATCAAGATGATGACCACTATCTGGCTGAGAGGCACCTTTTTGTCCATGCTTCTGCATGAGTTGTGCCTTCCTCATCATCTCTTCATAAACTTCCTCTGCACTCTTTAAGGTTTTGTCAGATGGTAACATTGTTTTCTCTGTTGGTGAGTAGAGGGATGTGAAGGTTGGAAGGTTAAATTCATTTCCTGATTTGTAAAGCTTTCCACCAATCATCTCAAAACCTTCTGCTTCTGAGTCCATGGAAGGTGAGTATTCAGAACAGGATGATCTATGGAGCTCCTCCATCTCTGCAGCTTGTCTCAACTCCTCTGTAGGTGATGCATCCTCAATAGGGGAAAGATTACTGGGTGGAGTTTTGGATCGTTCTCTGCGCCTTTGTGCCCGCAGCTCTTCTTTATCTCTTTTTGTTTTTCGAGCAGTACTTCGAATTCTCTGTTGTTCCAGATCTCTCATCTGCTCTTGTTCTCTAAGCAGTTCCTCTTCTTCTCGGAGCTCATCTTCCTCAGAGGAGTCTTCAATTGTGGGAAGCAGAGGGCCGTGGGACCGATGTCGAGCCTTCCTTTGCTGTTTTGCTTCTTCAAGCCTTGCTCTTCTACTAGGGCTGCTGTCACTGTCATCCTCCATAGATGACACAGAGGTCGGTGATGTTCCAGAAGTGTAGCTGGGAGTGGTGGCAGGAAGGGTGGATGAATAATCGCCCTTGGATCTTTCTTCTGGTGAACCAGTCAAACTCTCCATTTCAAGCTCAGGTTCTCGAAGGTCATGCTCATTACTGAGTTCAATGTCTCGGTTGTAGCTGTTGGTGTTATTTAGCTCAATAGTCTTAAAACGGCGAAGGCCTCCTGCCACAACAACATCCTCTTCTTCATTTGCCTTAAAAGAACCTTCAGATATCTTTTTGTCTTCTTCAAAACTATTTGACTGATGAGATAGTCGCCTCCTCTCTTTACCTGAATCTCCACTAGTTTTCTTTTTTGTTTTCTGGTTTCCATATTCTTCTAATTCTTCTTCATCAGCACTCATCTCCATAATCTGCCGTCTCATATATTCTTCATCAGTTAAATCTTTATGGGACTTTTTTTGTCTTATTGGCAAGGGTGACAGACCACTTTCACTGCTGTCTTCCACATAATCATGGCGAAGTTTACAACTTAGATCATCCTCTGATTCATCCCTTAGTGCTTCCTCATCAGGAATGTGTTCTTTCTCTTGCCTCACAGAAAGGGAATGCGGTCTATGCTTTGCATCTGTAGCAGTCTTTGATTCAAACAGAGGCTTCATAGTGCTCTCTAATTTTTTGATGTCTGAAGGAATGGAAACACCTCTTTCATTAAGCTTGATTTCCCCTTCCTGGATCTGACCTGTTATCTCCCCTTGTGAGCTGGAGATCCCATCTGAAGAGTATCCAGTGTCACTTAAGCTCTGTGTACTTGATTTATTTGAGTCCTAAAGAAAGAGAGAAATGGAGGATATGAGAAGCTGACAGAGACCTACACAATTTACTGATACAAGGTATATTAAAGGCCTCATTGCATATCACGCGTCACTATTTCATCCTGGTTATCAGAGTTGACATTTTTTGATCATTTTCAGGTGATTGCAGGTAACATTTTTTCTTTACATTGATTACAGATGAAATAGTCTTTAATGGTAGGCTATTAGAGAGTTATTACATTAAAAAAAAAAAACCTTGAAGAGGTATTTTAACACTTTAGAATAAAATCAACCCAAACATTTACTTTGTGTTTTATGTAAATTAAAAAAGAGATTTTTTTAAAACATTTCAGAAAATGTATCTAATAAGTTCATATAAGTGACTACAATGTTTTAACAATTTGGACAATTTAGCATTAATTTGGGTTGAGTTTTACCTTTTGTGTTACGTGCATACAAATGAAAAACATGACATTGACAAAGAGTGAATACAACAGACAGTTTAACATACAAACATCTACAGACAAATGTAATTTGTTTACATGCTTCTTTGCCATCTTTGTTGCATTCTCCATTGCATTCTTCGACCCGTTGAAGAATAAAAAACATGCTCAGAATGCTTAAAATGTCATTAGGTGGTTTCACTTTACACACAAAGCTTGCAATTTATTTGACAAAAAGAAAGAGATTGACGAATAAAACAAAGAAAAGAGGTACGTTCGCAGAAAATGAGAATTGGCCATTGAGGCAACGATAAAGACCAACAGAATGAAGAAAAAGATCAAAGTGATTTTACATTGATGATGTTGGTAATGATGATGATATGATGACGACTGTTTTGAATGAAAAGTAATTAAGATTGTAATTAGTTTATGAGGCTAAAGGCATATGTATTGGTGGGATTTGGTTTGGTGATATCTGATGATATCATGATTAATAAACAAAAAGATCCCATCAGTAAATTATTATAAGTGATTTGACACCTACTCTGAAGATCATAGATAATATGTACCTTTTTATCAGCCTATCAAATACTACTTTTTTTAAGTTTAACTTTATACTGTACTTTTGTTTTACATTAATGGCGCTATACCTGATTCTGCACAGTTTTAAACCATTAGTGAGGAGAAAAGTATAGTTTGAAATGTAAGGTTCACCGCTAACCTCCTACCATTGAGAAACTTTCCTCCCACTCTGTGTGCAGGTGAAAACCCGTACACAACTCTTAATGAAAATATTGAAAAGATACCTGTCTAGGAGAACTAGAGCCAGTCTCGAGTTCAGATTTAGTACGAGGCAGTCCCAAAAAGCTCTTAACCTCAAGTAGACTGGTCCGAGATTTACACAAGCTTTGGCCTTATCATGTTATTTTTGGCATTTCATTTATCTCTTTTCTTCCTCTGTTTTGACCCTTTTTGGTTCTTTTGTTGTATATGCAGAGACAGGTACATGTCAGCTAGGGGTTGGCCGCCATTTCTTAGTGAATACAGGTGCAGGTGCTTGAAGACTCCACTACTTATTGCGAAATGCTATTAGTGGCTGATTAGAAACAGGAAGCTCTACAGAATGAACTCCATTGGCAGAGAAAACTAAACTTACCAAACTGTTAAACTTAGCAGCCAAAGCTACAAATGTCTGAACTCCTGAATATGTGCAGTTAATAAATTTAATAACTGTATTTTAATGAAATGACCTCTTCTGCCACACAGTATACCATGTAAAAGCATTTTTTAAAGATTTAATCAAATCTGGTGCAAAGAGTTTCAGATCTCAATCCATGCAGTAAACTTCTTTTTATTCTGTCACTAAAGCACAAAGTTAAATATCACTGCTTTGAGCCCCGTTGGCCACGTAACTCCTCCTCAACTGTGCTGTGCCTGTGCCATCTTTGTTGTTAGTCACCGCTGTCAGGTAGCGACAGTCTATGGTGACAGCGGGCTGATGTGACAGCAAATCCCATAATGCTTTGTGAGGAGAGCTTTCCGTACAATATATCTGCCTCTTCTGAGGCTTTTCTTTTCTTCTCATACACTTTGTAAAAACTTTTTCTCTTACAACCCTTGGCCATTTTCAAAGAAAGTGCGCATGCACAGATAAAGACAGCTAACAGGGCGAGCAAGTAACACGGCCCATACATAAACACATCACCAGAATGACTGACAATAAGGAGGACCACTTATTTTTATTATCCACCCAGAAATATAATATTGTCCTCTCTGCGTTTGATACTAATCCCAGGAACATAAATCATACCACACAGGCGGTCATGTTATTAGTCAGTGACAAGGGTCTTCAACTTCAGTACTCAAGAGCCACTATCCAGTAACTTTTAGATATAGCCATTCCCTGAAATGCTTGGATTAAATGGATAAATGAAACTAAATATGGGTTCTACATAAGCTTGGTAATGAGCCATTATTAAATTCCAATGGTAAGGAACATGAACGCATCTGAACATTGCAGGATAGTAGTTCTCAAAGGCTGTTGAAGACCCTTGGCTCTATAAGAAGTTGAATGCTCTTAGATCTACATACATTTAATTTCTATGTTCCTGAGATCTTATTTCCTCTGGGACCAATTTAACAAATAACTGAGATGAGCAGAAATTGATGGTTCTTGAAAGTTTTTACTGTAAATGTTATGGCATACTAAAGCTTTCCATTAAATTTCAACGATTATCTCATCCTTCTAGGTCAGTCATTTTTCTGTTATAATCATAGCCTTTTGATTTTACCTTTTGTTTTTTTTTTAAATGTAGAATTTTGCTTTTTCATTTATTTGATGCATAACTTGTACAGTCTTTTTACAATACATAAATTTTTTTTGTTACTTATGATCCTTTATTTTCCAGTGAAACAGCTTATACTACCTTGAATGTGAAAGTGCTACACAAATAAACTTCCCTCACTTAAAAAAAAAATATTATGTGGAAATTGAAAGAATGGCTGTGATAAAATAAATTCAATAAAGAAAATACATACAATAAAGTAAATGGAAAAACAACATTAAGATTCTGAAAAATGGAACCAGATATTTCAATGGAGCAACGTAAATTGAAATGGTGAATTCAGTAACAGGTGTAACAGGTGAAGGCAAGGAACTTGCAGGTAGCTCACTTCATGGTGTCTTGACTTCTTGTCTTCTTCAGCTATCTTGTTCTCTTGTGGGGAAGTCACAGTCTCTGACAATGTCTTCTTAGTTGAGACTTTTGCATCTTCTTTCAGAGATTTAGATGCGACTTTAGTCTTCTCCTGGCTTTGCGGTTGTTTGCGGGCCTGGTTGTTACCTGTGGGTTTAGACTGAGTAGGAACTTTTGAAGGAGTAGGAGCCTTGGTAGTGTTAGGAGCAGCTTTACCAGGACCAGATGAAGCCTTAGTACCAGGGGGATGAGAAGGGCCCTTAGTCTGAGCAGAGGGCTGAGCAGATCCTTTTGCCTGAGTCGGCCCTTTGGCCTGACTTGGGCCCTTCACTTGGTTAGCAGGCAGTGTCGGGGCCTTAGTTTGAGCATGTGCCTGGCTTGGACCTTTACTCTGAGCTGGCCCCTTATTCTGTGTTGAGGGCTGTGTTTGACTCTTTGCTTGGGAGGGTGGATGAACTAAACCTTTAGTTTGAGATGGGGTTTGGCTGAGCCCTTTCGATTGAGGAGCAGGCCCAGCCTGTTTCACATTAGAGGGGGGGCCACTTACTTGGGGACCCGCAGACTTCTGTTGTTGAGGACCTGCAGACCTAGGTCCTAAAACTTGAGTGGAAGCTTTCTGCTGAGGTGTTTGTTGTTTGGATGGAGCAGGTGCCCGAGGAGATCCCATAGAGGGGGCCACAGGAGTTGGAATATCACCCAAGCTTCCTGACAGAGCGCGCTGTGTTTGGCAGTTTAAGCAGAGCCATTCTTTCTTCTGAAAAAGAAGAACATTAAATATCAATAGGAGTCACAATTAACAACCATAGTTTAACAATTTTTAATTTCAACAGAAGTGAAGAAATGGAACTGATAAAAACAGGTTCCATCTGCTGCCATCAAGTAAGTAGTGACTGAATTTTTTATCAAGTCTTTAAAAATAGCTGGGGTTTAATCAGATTGGATGTGAACAGATACATTCCCAAGTATTGCCACAGATTTAAGACCGAACTTTGACTTAGCCTTTCTAACAAATTAAAATGCTTTTATCTTAATCAGGGCTGGAGAAAAACAACTGCAGTAGTTTTAAAATCATGGGATCACCATGTGGGTTACAGTAAATCCACATTTGCATAGCTTTAATTGTTTTCCATTGTTATGGGCAGTGGTTTTAATTTTTCCTTATTGGATTTGGTAAGCTTTATTGTTATGGATATAAAAACGAGTCGTAACACAAAAAGGATTAGAAGTCTTTTTAGTTTTACATTTACTACTACATAGTCAGAACCACATTAACACAAACTTTGCTTTTGAAATAAAACTGATATATTAAGAAAAGGCCAGCTCACTTAAAATTATGTGCTAATGATCTAGCTCTAAAAACTATAAAATTATTATTTTAAGACATACTGTAAAACATTATCACAGTAATCTGTTATTCCCAAGGAACAAACTGGCAAAACAGTACTAACATCCAAAGCTACAAACTGAATCAAGTTGTCTGTTTTTGGAGGTGAATTTCTGTTCATTCCAGAGATTACATATCATTTTCAAAGGATGACAATTCTTACAGCAATTTCTATTTTACACATTAACCATAAATAAAAGAATTACTAAGTATCCTGAGCTACAATTATTCCTATCAATATTTGAGAGAATTAATACCCAAAGTCCCGAAATTATTTGTGATGCGGGCTTCAAGGGCAGTACAAGCCAGTTTAACTAACTGAATGCAGTACTGGCATGGAGAGAGTAAATGCATGGTACTTGAAATACATGTGTCTACCAAATGTGGCAATAAAGCCATCCCTTGCAATTTTAAAGTTAACAGTACTAATGTGATTCAGTGCTCCTCTAGTTTAGGGGTTTCTTGATTGATATCTGCACTTATATGTCACAGATGTTAATAGAAACTGGTGGTACAAGAGCACAGAAGTGTTAGGGTGGTAAATGAATGCAAATGTTGTTGCTCTGCAGTACCAAGGACTCAGAAGGACCTATTCTCAACAACTAAGTACTTGCGAGCCTGTCCAAACAAGGCCTTTCATCTCTTGAAGAAGACTTAATCTTTTGACAACATTAAGAACTCTCAACAGGGTACACAGAGAAAGTACACAGTGTGAATACAGATGATCATGCCTGTAGTAGGCTGTAACAATCACAACACCTTTGAAAGAGCTTTCAGCAAACTCCCTTGCTTCTTAAAGCAGGGATCTGTCCTTCACACTCATACTCAGCAAGTCTCAAGTTAGACCATGGTTATAGATTCTGACACTGCTAAAACTACAGAACAAAACCCATCAGTGGCAGGATTTTAGCATAAGCAGATTCAATATCAGGTCAACAACAGATCGATAAAATCTCTAGCTGTAAAAACAGTTCTATTGCATGCAATGGTGCCATGTTAGTAGCACAGCCCTCTGTTAATGATAATCGTCTGTGTCTCAGGCCTGATAATGGAGTGTCAGTGTGTCACAGACTCGTTCTACATAACAAATAATCCTCATAAAATTCTCCACTGCTGATTACCATCTTGTCAGTAACTCATGTATTTTATTGCTATCACATTCTAGAGGCATGAATACAGACGATTTTACAACAGGCCTTCTCTGTAGCAAAAGAGCATTTTTATTGCAGTGCAAGGATCCAAGGTGCCAAAGAAAGCAGCAAATACAACTAAAACTAATACTATATTCATTCAACAAGAGAGAGAGATAGCTTTTAAAAATGATACCCTATCATAGAGCAGAGAATTAAGGTGGGACAATATTCAGAAAGGACCATCCCAATATCACCAATATCACAGCAGGAATCTCAGTGTATAGGTTTGGCCTTTAGATTGAGTTTGCAGTAATAGCAAGCCAACTGTCTTTATTCACCAAATCCTAAGTCTGATCAAACACTGATCAGAGGAAGTTTCCACCCTTTCTCTGCACTCTCCTTAAGGAATGGTAGATTAAATCATGAGAGTACCCATCAACCAAGTCGTATTACCCTCACCAGCCACTTTATTAGGTACACCTGTCCAACTGCTCGTTAACACTTAATTTCTAAGCAGCCAATCACATGGCGGCAACTCAGTGCATTTAGGCATGTAGACATGGTCAAGACAAACTCCTGCAATTCAAACCGAGCATCAGTATGGGGAAGAAAGGTGATTTGAGTGACTTTGAACGTGGCATGATTGTTGGTGCCAGAAGGGCTGGTCTGAGTATTTCAGAAACTGCTGATCTACTGGGATTTTCACGCACAACCATCTCTAGGGTTTACAGAGAATGGTCCGAAAAAGAAAAATCATCCAGTGAGCGGCAGTTCTGTGGGCGGAAATGCCTTGTTGATGCCAGAGGTCAGAGGAGAACGGCCAGACTGGTTCAAGCTGATAGAAGGGCAACAGTGACTCAAATAACCACCCGTTACAACCAAGGTGGGCAGAAGAGCATCTCTGAACGCACAGTCTGTCGAACTTTGAGGCAGATGGGCTACAGCAGCAGAAGACCACACCGGGTGCCACTCCTTTCAGCTAAGAACAGGAAACTGAGGCTACAATTTGCACAAGCTCATCGAAATTGGACAATAGAAGATTGAAAAAACTTTGTCTGGTCTTATGAGTCTCGATTTCTGCTGCGACATTCGGATGGTAGGGTCAAAATTTGGCGTCTACAACATGAAAGCATGGATCCATCCTGCCTTGTATCAACGGTTCAGGCTGGTGGTGGTGGTGTCATGGTGTGGGGAATATTTTCTTGGCACCCTTTGGGCCCCTTGGTACCAATTGAGCATCGTTGCAACGCCACAGCCTACCTGAATATTGTTGCTGACCATGTCCATCCCTTTATGACCACAATGTACCCAACTTCTGATGGCTACTTTCAGCAGGATAATGCGCCATGTCATAAAGCTGGAATCATCTCAGACTGGTTTCTTGAACATGACAATGAGTTCACTGTACTCAAATGGCCTCCACAGTCACCAGATCTCAATCCAATAGAGCATCTTTGGGATGTGGTGGAACGGGAGATTCGCATCATGGATGTGCAGCCGACAAATCTGCGGCAACTGTGTGATGCCATCATGTCAATATGGACCAAATTCCCTGAGGAATGCTTCCAGCACTTTGTTGAATCTATGCCACGAAGAATTGAGGCAGTTCTGAAGGCAAAAGGGGGTCCAACCCGTTACTAGCATGGGGTACCTAATAAAGTGGCCGGTGAGTGTACATGTGAGGGGTGGCAGATAAATCTAAAGGGATTGGAAGGAAGGATGGGAAGGGTAGAGGAAACTCTAAACATCTCTGTTTGGCAAAAAAACCCCAAAAATACCCAAAAGAACACCATACCCACACTGATGCATGGTGGCTGCATTATGTTACTGGAAAAAATTTCTTCAAATGAAACCTATCTTTATTTTCACCTGTTCTAAATATTTTGAATATGTTATGACTACCTGTCATTTTGACCTAAACTCTATTTGCAATATTCAGTAACAAAGTAAATCCAAGTGAAATAAACTTCGTCATTTACAAGAAAGTCCCACCTTTTGAATGGCCTAGCTAAAGTCTGAAACTAAATTGTGGACAGTATCTTTGTAGTAATAGAAATAAAGCTGATAGAAATGTTGTCCACTTGCTCTTGGCTGAAGTTCTTGAAATCTATGTGAAGATATGGGATGCTTATAGATTCCAATCAAAGAAGACTGAATGTTGAAATTTGAATTAAAAATTCAACAGAGTTTTATCTTAAGGGAATGCAGATTAAATTGGGTCATTGCATTTATTTTAACATATATTCCCCCTCAAAGATTTGTCATTAATTTAATTTGCACAGTGAATCACATCTCTTGAGATCCAGTTTAAAGATAATGCAATTCCCATAGTAAACAGGACAGTTATCTTTCAAAAGAATAGCACAAAATAAAAGACGTATAAATTAGAAAGCATTTATTTAGATTAATCTGTTGTCATTCATCTTTTAAATAATCAAAGACCAATCAGAGGAATCAATACCTTCTTAAAACCATGGGCAAGCTTTCTACTTACACCAGAATTTAGTGAAGAATTTATCATACATGAGAGATGGATGTACTGTAGTGTACTGGAGGGGTTAGAGTCTTAAAGGTTTCAATGGCTTCTATTTTATGTAACATTATATTTTAGTTCAGTTTCTGCTGCAGATGTTGTTTTTGTGATACTTTTGCTGAAAATGACTGAAAAAGCAGCTTGAAATAAGAAAACAACAAAAAAGAGACAATAAAATACCATAAATAGAAATATAGGTCAATGCCACTCAAAAGGATCAAGAGATAATGTTCATTTCTTTGCAACTTACAGATATTATTACTATGCAGTATGCTGTTACAATGCACACAGTTAGAACCTTGGCATAATATTAAAAAAATTGCTGATATTAAATACTCTATCAAAGCCAGCTGAATTAAAACTTGTGCCACATTTTTAGTATTGGGTGAAATAGTAAGACTCTTCTGTACCTGTTAGAAGACATTAGAGACCATAAGAAAATGATCACACAAACTCAGCCCCAAATAGAATTTAATAGAATATCATAACCACTCTGCAGAGTCACTGACACAGCAAATATAGCACCTCATGAAAACTCAATTAGGGCTCTTATGCAATGTGATTGATGAATTATGCAGCACCTCCTTAAGTAATGATGTCATTTGAACCTTGCATATCGTGAAAAGAACCATTTTAGCTTTGATGGTGTAGCACAATAGAGTATAAGCCAAGCCGACATATTTTTATATGAAAACAGAGATTAA